AAATAAAGAAGTTTATAATATACATAAAATTAGATATAATAGAATAAAACTTATAATAAAATAAAAATATTATTATATCTTTTTTTCTGCGCCTGTTTATGACCAACTTGCGATAAAAAGACATTAATTACCACCAAAGTAATGTAAGTGTTGCAACCAATTGAGAGTAGACATACGACTGCAAAGGGTTCACAGATAAAGTACGTTTAAAATTCTTTTTATCTATTTTCAAACTTTACTCAGCTTCAGGGGAAGTTTTTAAAGAAAAAACTGCGATTCTAGTAATGTGCTAATCATATACAGAGAAAAATATGTCGCATTCAAATAAATGTTTGTTATTAAATATGTCATAAGTATTTCATAAGTTTATATATCCGCAAGTTTATCACAAATTTATTCTAAACATCAAATTTATTCAAAATACATCTTGAATTCTAGTAAGCTTAGCATTCCAAACAAGAATATTAAATCAAAACAAAAATTCGTTTGCTTACTTTCAAGACTGTTATCAAGAAAATATTCTTTGTTGAAGATAATTACTCAAAAGAGGAAAAGTAAACTGAATAATCGCTTTTCTTATCAGTAAAATGATATTTCTGTGTAAAAAATCTATGCAAAGGAAAATATATCGATATTTGCGTGAGATATCTAATTTTTTCGATAATAAAAATAAAATAAAAGTAGAAATATAATAAATGCGCGCGAAGCTGTATATCTTTGAAATTTAATCTTTCTACATTCGTACATCCCTCCGATTACGAATGAACATGCGTTGTGGACACGCAACTCCTACAACCGAAGTTGTACTCGATAATCAGTGACAATGTAATTCCCCTTCTTTAATTAATAACGCCGCTGTTACGCGTCCTGTCCGACGTAGGTATCTATGAATGCGCGTGCCACGTGTATCTTATTGTGCCAGCTATCATTACTGAGCATTCTTTTTTACAGCCGTTTGAAATGGCAACGATTAGTCGCGCTTGTTCCAATGCTTTGTTTCTATTATCATCACGCGCAACATGAGGGAATTAAATCAAGTAGTGACGTCGCGCGCAATGTCGAGGTCGAAGCCAGTTTCTGTTTTCCGATATATTACTGTTTATCACTATCTCCTCGTCTTTCGTTTTGCCTCTTCAGTCGTGATATTACATCATGACAGTACGTTAGGTAGATCGACGATCTATCTTTTTGTTATTATCGCTAAAACGTGTGCATTTTGTATATTTTATGACCGTCTGATTGGCGCGATAAACGCGGAAATGCCGAGAATTAACGCAACTGGTAAGCCTTGTTAGCGCGCAATTTGCAGTTCTTTCATTAAACTCGGTTATTCGCGCTATTTTATGTTTTTGCCTGTTTTGTGGCATAGAATCATATTTGTAAGTGAGATTATGAAGAATGATTTATATCCGAGAAAAAAAGTTTGGTTGGATTAACCATGTTTGTGGTGAAGTGTGAGCAAAATGGAAATTTCAGCTAAAAATACAAGAATTCTCAAGTTAACAAAATTTACGTTTAACTTGACTAGAATTCTAATAATTTCAATCAGAATGTTCTGCTTTGCTTATATTTCATCAGAAATTTAATTAATTTAACCAGAATGACGCATATATTTCGTGTCAATATCTAAAATATCCAATTATAAATATGTATTTAAGGCGATCGATAAATTTAACGTCTCTACATTAAAAAAAAATTTAAAAATTTACTTGTGATATATAAAATTTATTTCTACAAAATAACGTTCATTTCTGTGAACAGAAATAAAGTTAATTTCTGTGAAGTAAAATTTTATTTCTGTAAATCAACTTCATATTTCACAAGCAAATTTTCAGGAAATTTTTCTCGGTACAAGATAGAGAAAATGTAACGACACGAGACTTTTTTAATTTCTTTAACCACTTTATTTCATAGACAGAGCAAATACATTGATGGACGCATCATTGAGACTTGGTCTCGATTGACAGAATTTTTGAAACTGCTCACGCGAATACATGAGTAAGCCTCTCTAAGAAGTAGCGAATGTTCCCTTCGCACAATCATACAAAAATACACAAAGAGGATTTCTTGTCGTGTAACTTATCGCCGACCGACTAATACTGCAACTAATTCTCTTGTGAACGCATGGCACAAACGAAAAGGAAAAAGCATTTGGTGACATTCGTCGCCAAATAACTGTATGTTGCATAAATCTCTCATGTATCTATACGTTCTCGCGCAACAAGAAACATATATATGATAATAGTAATGATATATTATTGTCATCTTTTCTTTTGTCTTATCTTGTCCATTTTGGAGAAAATATAAGGTTAGGTCTTCCTCTACGCGAAGCGATCCTAGCTATCGTTCAAAAATATTCGCCTAATGTCGAGTATACGAGTCGCAAGCTCTGGGTAATGCGTTGCGAGAAATTGACTCTTCCAGCCTTGCGTTTATCGACGTATTTATTAATAAGAGCGCTAACGATTCCCCCGTAAACCGACAAGAGGTCGTACGGTTGCACTCATGTTTATCTGAGAACTGTTATACTACGGAGCAACGCGTGTACTTCTATGTTTCGTCGATGATATTACGGAGATGTGTCGTAATCGGCGTATCTCTCGCCTCGTCTCGCGTCAATACCCGTTCTTCCATTACGTCGACGACGTAAATGTACTAAGAACTACCATCCACTCTCTCATCCGGGCGAAAAATGAAGATGATAAAGAAAAAAAGAAATAAATAAAAATGTGCACAGTGCAAAGAGCGAACATGTCGACGTAAGACGGATGTGTAACTTCAATGTCTCCGTGGAATCTTCGAAACGTGTTAAAAATTAGAAAGAGAAAAAAAGGATATGCTTAACGCGCGATTTATGTGCAACCCGTTACGAAGAAACCCAGATAATATCTGTGGTTTCCGATTGACTCGTTATCCGTGTATTTTACGCATCGCTGTGGGAGAACGGATTATAATCTGCACAATTAAAACAGGAATAATAAACATCTCTACGTCGTAATAGCGCGTTGGCCATTGATTATACTTCTGAAATCAGAGAATCCAAAGAATGGGGTGATATCAGTTTTGAAGGATAAAAGCCAGGAAAACTCTGGAAATATCATTGATGTCGTTAATTTTCACGTTATTCTAGCTCCGAGACTTGAATAGCATTTTTACTTGATTAATAATAAATAAAGGGAGGTTTTAATTTAGATAACCGAAAAAATAGGAGGTTTTTACGAATTTCTTTAAAGAAAAATTAGCAAATATGTCAATATAGAGTTTTAACCATACTATCTATTATTATTTCAAGTATAAAAAAGTATTTTTTTTAATTAAAATTTTTTCGCTTAGATTTTTCGTACTGATCGTCGGACAACTATAACTAACAGACAATATTACAGCTTGTATAATAATCTAAAACAAATGGGACAAAAAAATTTTAAGTTGTGTTAAATTTACTGGAGAATGAACTTTATCATATATTATTTAAAGTCGCATACATATATGTATAGCTTTTGCTATATAAAGTCAAAATTTAACAAAATAATTTTGAAGAGTTTCAAGTCATTTTAAAATTACTTTGAAATTATGTTATTTTTCTTCTCTTCTTTTTTCATTTAGTGTCTAGGGAAAAATATTAATTTTGTAAATTTTCTAAAGAATTTCATTCTCTAATAAATTAAATATAATTTTTAAATTTTCTTGCCTCACACAGTTGTTTTTTATTTTTACACCATCTGTGATGTTCATCAGTTAAAAGCATTCGGCGACATCGTGCTTAGCACGAAAAACCTGAACGGAATTTCAATTCTTTAAAATAATTTTTTTTATATTTAAAACAATGATAAATAGTATGGTCGAAACTCTATATCTGTTATCTTTATCCACATTAAAAAAAAAAAAATCGTAAAAACCTATTTTCCGGCTATCTAAACTAGAACCTGCCCTTAAATGTGTTTTACGGCGCAACATGAATCAGGCGAATTATTTATCCCAATTTTATCTCTAAATGCTACATTTTCTTTCGTCTATAAGGCAAAGCCCGTGTCGCAAGACACGATGTTTTGTTTTGTTCTCTTACGTATTTTATCTGGCGAAAATAAGCGACTGAGTGTAATCTGAGAAAATCTTTTTACAAACATTGACGCGCATAGAATCGCCACGCGACATTCGCTGCCTCGAGCTTCACTGAATGAATAAACCGTACGAAAAATATCCCGTCAAACCTAAAGACCACGTACCGAACTGTGTGTATCCCTGTTACATTCCATTGATCTGATATGTAAATCGCAAATCTTTATCGCGATTATTGTGGAGTGTACATGGAAAAACGTTGAAGTACGTTCTAAAGAAGAAAGAATATCTCCTTCCGTCTGCGGAAGGATAGTGAAGGATGCGAGGTAGAAAATATAAATTAAGAAGAAAGACAAAATATGTATGAAAGAGTCGAGCCCTTCACTGCCACAGTTCTTTAAAACGCTAAACGACGGAAAGAATCCACGTGTGGCGTATATGTACGTAATATCAATCACAGTTACCATTAATTTGAGTGTGTCGCACACAATACCGAGATAACTATATGTCGCTCATGAGTGGAACGAGGTCAGAGAGTTCTGAAAATTCGTTATTGCCCCTTCGAAATCGACGCGCGTACGCACCCCTTTAGTTCGACATCGTGACGAGAAAAATCGTATTAAGTTTGCGCGAGGCAGAGTCAAACATGCGTGTTCGACGATTGCGAAAAATTGCGTCAAAGTAATGAAATTACACGGAGAAAAATAATTTTGCTCTTTTAGCAAAATTGTTGTTGCTATTGCATATTCGTAGTGACATAAAAATAATTTTGTTGACGTAACTAATTTTACAAATTAGTCGTTATCTGAGCAGAAATAGTTTCGTTGCCAGGATAGAAAAAATTTGTTGAGTGTATTTAAGAATTACGTTAATTTGCTATTGATGAAAAATAATGTATCCTTAGCAAATTTATTTGCTATCGGAACAAAACTGCAACTGCTTATATAAATCCATCATGGATCTTACAACAAAATAATTTGTAGATTCAGCAAATTATATTCAGCAAATAGTGATTAGTACTCTTAGCAAATCTTTTTGCTGTTCATATAATAACGAAAAGATTTTGCTAGACTAGCAGAAGCAACATTTTTACTGTGCGATTTACTTTGAGAAAGTTACTTCCACTCGTCAGAGTCAGCGAGATATAAGACGGAGCAGTAAAGAGGAAGTTTCCACGGAAAATCAGTGAGTTCTCACTCAACTTATCGTTGAAACACTCATTTTACTGACTCAATCAGAAAACTTTACTGATTCATTTTAAGAAAGTAATATCCTGTATAATGGTTATTTTCGCTGTCTACGATGAGAATGCGTTTCTTCTCTCAATGACCTCGTATCCCCGATTACCACGATCAATACTCTCGCGCCTCTTCCTCGTCTCGCGACAATTTCTACGCGATCTTTTGTCTCCACCCTCGCATAGCCGCCGCCGCAACCTTAGTCTCGCGCAAATTCGTTGTCACCCATTGCTCATGGTAATGGCGATTGCACCGCCGTTTCCGTCGTTTTGCAGGACTCGCTGTCGTCGTCGATACACTCGTTCTGTTTGTTTTCGAGCTCGGTGTTGTGCGCGAGGGTGTAATTGTTGAGATACTCCACCACCTGCATGTGCCCGAAAGTCTCGGCTTCGTCGACCGGTCGTTTGCCCCATCTGGAAGAATACGACGCGTACACTTCGTTCATTTGCTCGTGGAATTCTCCGCGGATTGAAATCAAAATCCTGTGAGGACTCGAAAGACGTGTTTAAATTGATGAAATAATCTTGCGATCTCTCGCGGAGCGTTGCGAGCTCGAGCGGCACGACGCGGCATTTACCTGTCCTTGGGATTGTGTGGGACGCCGCATTGCTCGATCAGAAACTCGACGCAATCCAGATGGCCTTCACTCGCGGCCAAGTGCAATGCGGTTCTGCCGTCGTAGTCCGACAGAGTCATGTCCATTCCGCTCAGCCGATGCCTAAAATTAGACACGTCAGGATTCGATGGTATGACCGTGTGTGTGGCAAAAAAATTATAACTCAAAATTAATTTTAAGTGAAACGCGATCTCTTTCGATCAAAATTTCTCATTACTTCCTCAGTTTTCTTAATTCAAAAGGAATCACGATTTCCGTTATTCTATTCTATCGCCACTTAACATTTAGCATTAGAACTAGTTTCTTTTTCTCATGCGATAATGCTGAGAAAAAGAATATCTAAGAAATAAAAAAAATATTTATTCGGTGTAGACACCGCGATAATATATTTATTTGTACTAATACAAAATATTTTTCAAATAAGAAATGTTTGAAATTGTTTGTTTAAGTAAATTTGCTATTAGTACCCATCGAATAAACAATTTTAATTTTTTAGATATTTTTTCTTATTATGCTTTTCATGTCATATTATAATTGTGATAAGACTGATAAATTTTTGCCGTTCAAAAGAGTAATTTGTCACAGATACTTCTTATTAAAACTTATAGGCAAAATTATCTCGTTATCATTAGATATTTTCTTGGGATTTTAATAGAATCACGTTTCCGTGTCTCCGTGTATTTCCGAAATTCGCGAAGGTCTCGTCGTGGAAATGACCGTCGTGAATGCATGTCGCATGACATAACGCGACACTACCGTCTCGCCGTGTTAAAGTTCACGCCGCAGCTGGCGCATACACGCGCAGCGCATCTCCCAAGTACAGAAGCGTCGGGCAAAAAAATACTTCACGGGCGCTCATCTTTATTAAACAGGTTCTGCTAAGCGTATCTCACCTCCTCATCGCGGTGACGTCACCGCTGGCAGCGCTGAACAGGAGATTAACGATGGAGAGACCTTTCGTCTCGTACTTCTGCCGTCTAGGATCCTTTTTGTTCGTTGCGTGCTTCAAATTGTCGTACCTGCGGTCGTAACGAATGGGTTAAGCCGAGAGAAAAGCCTGACGAGCAATGCAGGGTAAAATATGATCGCGTTTTTTGAGTTTCATGCGCCTGTGACGTCTACCGTCAACGATACAGACGTGAGAAAATCATATGAGAGACTAAAGCCTATATTAATAGTCGTTGCTTGAAACTTGTGTCTCACGTGAGATATTCAAAATCTGAATATATCAAAGTTATATCAAAGTTCTTCATTTGAATTATATTCGTAACGTTATATTTGTAATTTTAATTCAATTGAGAAATTCACATCTGATCCTAAATTTAGATCTGAGTATTTCACTTGAGACAAATTTCAGTAATTTTCGCAAGTTTTAACGACTATTATAACGTGAACCTAAAAGACGAACGTTCAAAAAATATTCTGGTGGTCAGAATATATTCAATGTGTCAATATATGCATATACATTGTAATCAAAATATATTTAACGCACATATCTTTAAAACCGTGTCACGAGCAATTAAAAGGAACATATATCTCGAGAATATAGCAATAATTTAATTAATAATTTCTTGTCATAAATAATAATTTCTTGTCATTCGGATCGTTACCTGTGAAAGTTGAATTCGTTCACGAGTTCCTCGCAAAACTGAACACCGCGGCAGGAATTCCCAAGCGGATCTAAAGGCGGAGACCACGTGCAAATTCCCATGACATTCGGTATTACCATTAGAAGGCTTCCCGATACACCGGACTTCGCCGGTATACCGACCTAGAATATAATGCGATATTAATATTTATAACGTGAAGGAGAAAGAAACATCAGATTTTTATATTAGATTAAAACAAACATTAAAACGTATTTTTAAAGAAGAGTTTTTAAAAAATGATGAGGAAAATTTTTTTTGCAAAGAATTGGTAATTTTGAGTTGACGTTTTCTTCGTCTTGATTATATTATCCAATTTTGACGTGTTTTAAACGACAAGATGATATTATTGTACAAAAACAAAGTGGAGTCATGCATGACTGCAACATCTTTTGAGTTTTTCTTCTGTATGTTAAAATTTGCATTAGGACAAATAAGTAACAATTTAGCAAGAATGTATTTTTCCTTGTATAAAAATATTTTTTAGTATAGCATCTGACTTCAGCGCAAACATGTCACAAAATTTTAATTGAATTTTATTTAAAAACATGTACCGAATGTGGTCATTTTTATCTTATCTTGTCACTTAAGGACTAATAATTGGTTCCACTTATTTGATTGAACAAATTCGGTTCTTTGTTTAATATTTTTTCTTTATTTACTTGAATTTAATTTTTACTTAATTTAATTTTTTTTTATTTAAAATTTTTCTTTCTATGAAATATTTTAAATTAATTAGTGAGTCATTAAGTGGCCAATATTAGTGGGTCTTTAAGAGACTCTAAAGACCTTGAATCACTAATTGATTTGACATCAGCGGAATATTTTATTCTATGAAATATTTCGCACTAGAGCCCAATTGTAATATATATTTACCGACATTAATGACACGTGTTCTTACACGGAGAAAATAATTGTTTTCTTTTTCTTCATATAAATTCTTTTTAATTTTATTGTGTTTCTAGTAGTGCAGGGACAGACTGTCAGTAAAGTGAAATTCTTGCTATGAAACATAGTAAATTTTACTAGAAACAACGTAAATATTTTAATAGCACATTTCATATAAATAGCGCGTATGAAATAAAAGGACAGTCAGTTACTACGTGAATGTTGATCTATTCCTCGGTTACGAAGTTCTATAATAATTTTTACTGCAAAATCCTCTTCGTGCAATTAATGAATAGCTTATCGATCCTCTACTGCGTTCATGGAAAATAAAAATATTCGCTTCATCCGTCATAAGTTATTTATGACTGGACTGACTGCGTTGTAGCTTGTCCGAAGATGTCGAGTGCGATTTTAGCATTCATTAAGCTTACTTTGAATGCGAATTGTCCGCTATAGTCATACATGCCACAGCTGTGCATGAGGCTCAATACGTCACGGACGCTGTCAGGTTTTAGGACCTTTTCCTCGGTGATCGGACAAATGCCGCCGTTCGCCAAAGTCGCCGCCATCACCGCCATCGTCTCGCAATTCGCTTCCATGGCGCAGCACTTGCCAATAAAAGCAAAATTCATTATAAACGACGTGTACGCGTGGCTTGCCGAAATAGAAATAGCATAGACTCCGATTCACTCCGGGCGTCTTCCAGTATCGTAGACGCGTATAGACGGTGCACTATAAATCGCAAAACGTACTAAACGTTTCCCAGAATATTGCGTTTGCTCATTGGCTTGTTCATAGCCTTAAAGAAAAATCGCGTTCTCAAAAAGAAATAAAACAGTGTCATTCTGCTTAGATTATAGAGACATTAACAAAGGAAATAGCTACCTGGAAGTAGAAATCCATAATCTCACGCAGATTCGTCCTGTCCGGGTAACACTTGTGCTCCCTCATGTAAAACCCTAACGCGTAATTTCGATCGGCTGCCTCTCGTTCCGACAGGAAGACCGCGTTATTGAAGCCGAGGTTCTCGCCGCCGGACAATCTCTTGAAGTAGTCCATCGTGAAGTCGAATTTTTCGGCTAAGGCCATTTCCGGCTTGATTAAAGTTTTCAAGAGCGAGCAAACCAGTATCGCGCCGGCGTTGATCATCGGATTGTGCGGCTTCTCTAAACAGAGAAGTCAATGTTAAAACATTGACAACTAGGAAGAATCGATATTTAGAAAATCCGCGTTGGAAACTGGAAACGGGGCTGAGACACACAAAAGAAAAAAATATCTCAGAATGAAACACTTCGAGTATCGAGGGTAATCCTCACGGGTAATCGATAGAGCAACACTCACTGTTGTAATCCAACACAAGCTCGTTGAAGTTTCTACCGGACGGCTCTTGACCGACATATTGATGCACTACCTCTTGACCTAGCCTTTCCAAGGCTATCGCATAGGTCAGTGGTTTGCTGCAGCTCTGAAGGGTGAAGGGTATTGAAGTGTCACCGATGCTGAATCGCTGGCCGTCGATTGTGCACACGGAGACACCCCAATATTCGGGATTCATCCTGGCTAGCTGTGGTATGTAGGAGGCCACCTTGCCTTCGGTGTTCGTCTTACATTTCCAATAAAAATCCTCAATGTGCTTGGTGAAGCCGGCCCAGTCGGGAATTATGAATTGATGCCTGAATGCCCGCGAGATCAGGACGATGTTGGGGTTTATGATTCTGAAAAGGATCGACTATGTTCGATATTCGTGTATCGTGGAATTCCTCGCTAAAATTCGGTCATATTTCTTCTTCTCTTTTTTTTTATTTATAGTATACAGCACAGTGTCATTTTCGGGGCTGTACACACGGGGAGAATTTTATAGTAAAAGTTGCTATAGAGCTGAGAAATAGATCGACATTCTGCAGTAATTGACTATTTTTTCATTTTACATACACCATTGATATTTAGGGGAACAGTCTATATTGTATAAAAAAAATAATACGTCCCTTGGCGAAATTTACTATGTTCCTTACTAAGATCTTATTGATTATTACTTGACTTATAATCTATTCCCGTACTATTAAGCGTATAGTAAAATTAAAAAGAATTTGTATGGGGAAAATATTTTCTTTCCATGTAGACTCACCTCCTGAACTGTTCTTTATCAAGTTTTTGCGTTTCATGTGACACGCCCTCGTGAGCGCCGGTTTTCGCATGTTCCTTCTTCAAACTGTCCGTGAATTCCTGAAGTCTTGGATCATTCTTCCGTAAGCCGGTTGTCCTTAGAGCCTTGAATGAATTATACATAATATGTGTATTTTTCAATCATATCGGTAGTGATTATTTTGATTAGAATAGATAAACATTTTTTTTTGCTTGATACTTTGTCTAGCAGCAGTTCCTAAACGAATGTTAACACGTCGTTTCTAAAAGCCTGCTGTTGAATTCCGACAAATTTTATAAAAAGAGCCAGAAGGAAAAACGTCACAGAACATTATAGAAAGAGCGAGATAGATTCGGTCTTCACCTTGTTTATCTGACATATACATTTCATCATAATAATTTTTGCTATAAAAATTCTCTACGCATATCGCTCTCGAATATGTGTAGTATTATGAAATGTTAAAGGAGTATCGATCTCTACGCTTTCTTTCGCAAACACATTAGTGTATGACGATGATACATCAGTGAGTTAATAAACCTAATGACCGCCAAGGTAATGATATCGATACGTACAGCTAAAAATTTCCCCACCGATAAGAGGTCGGACTCCTCGTTCTTGAACATATCAAACAAGACATCCTCCGCATTCGTAGCTTGATCTTGATCTCGAGTGCTGCAAAATATTGAATATTATGCAAAGAGAAGTAACGTGCCGTTTGCCAACGAAAATAATATACGTACTATAACTCACAGATATCTTTTGTAACTACTACTATAATCTAAGATTAAAAGTGCCAACACGATGTATAATAACAACGTTATCATCCTTAATCGATCTAAAACATTTTTCAGCTACATCTAAATACATTTACACTCTTAAGTTAAATAAAATCTTAATCTAAATATATTTACACTCTTAACTTCTATCATTCGACAAGTTTGAGATTTTTTATTTTAGAAATCTCGCTTGGAAATGTTATCGTTTACTCTTAATTACAAAACCTCGCCGTGCATTAATTATTATAAGCCAAGTTGATTAATAGCCAAGTTGATGGTAGAATAAGAGAGAATATTGTAGTAAAAATTACAGTACAATTTTAATGCTCCAGGAATAGACTAGCACTATAATAAAAATTATAATACGACATAATAAAAATGACCATGAACATAATATAATAAAAGTTACTATAAATATAGTAAAAATTATATTTGTGATCATTTTTGTTATATTTTATTATAATTCTCGTAATAGTGTCAGTTTATTCCCGGACTATTAAAACTGTATTGTAATTTTTATTACAATAATCTCTCCGTATATAACAGTGCGAAAAGAGGAGTTAAACATGCGTCGTCGCGAAATCTCATCGCGATTATCGCCAGAGAAATGGTACGAAGCGTTAAGTGCTGTTAATCGCGACGAATTGACGATGTCATGCTGATATATAACGCCATGCATTAATATAGCGCATAGTACTCACTACATGTAGTGGCTGTCATGAATGAAGCTGTAATCGCTGTAACGAGAAGCAAGACAAATGATCTCGCATTAGTGATGACAGTATAGTTGTTAATGCGGACCGTTACCTAAGAAAGCGCGCCAACATCCTGGTTGACTGTTCGTTCTTTTTCTCCAGCCATATCGAGCACGCGATTTTCGACTTGATTGCATAATCTTCCGAAAGATTAGCCAGCTGAAGATTATTAGAGTCTTGGGCGGGCTTGGAATTGTGGTCGATCGTCTCGATGTAAGGCATCGTGATTGTCTCGCGCTTCAAGTGTCAAAGACCAACAACAGGCACGCGCGATGTTTTTTATTTGTAAATATTAATTAGGAATATTAATTATGGGGATTATTGATTATATGCGTTTAACTGTGATGGCCAGATCAGTTTTAATGTATTCTATGAATTTTATTATATTTATGCAGTTATATAGATTAGATTTAGCGTGTTATGTCTATAGTTCTTATTCCCGTTTGATTGGATTGGAATTATTCATGCACGCTGGCGCGGTAATCGATGCGCCTCTCACTTGCAGATTTTTGTAAACAGAAAGCTCTCACGGTGTGCAATCCACTGCGATCACAAGATACGATCGAGAGCCACCGGTTCTCACACGGAGCATGTAATCAAAGAAATTCAACGAGTTTCGTGCGGGATGCAATTGACTTCGTTTTCTTCTTTTTATTCTTGCGCGAAATTTATAAGATTCGCAAACCGTCTGTGTGCGCGATCGCGGCGAGGTCTATTGGCTGCTAGAGAATCACTACCGGCTCTTATATTAACCGAACGGAAAAAACAACCTTTCGACCTCCCGCCCCCCGCAGTGATAAGAAGCCGATCTTAAAATAGTGTGTCGCGTTTGCGTCCGCGGAGCAGGTGGCATCCCGGCAGCGAGCGAGCGAAATGCAATTCGCGCCCGATGACGAACAATTGTAACAAACAGAAGCCAGTGGCAAATAATTGCTTCGTATATTAGAGCCGATTAGAGCTATAAAGGCTCCGCGTGGGGGAGGAAGAAGAAAACGAAGGTCAGCTGGCCGGTAGGAAGAGGAGAATGTTTATATTCAGGACTGCCCAATCTGATTTATCTTAACAATATTTTTATGACGAACACGAAGTGTCGAATGTTTGAAATATTCAAAAGAACTTAATCTCATTTTTATCAGAATTCACTTATATGTGACATTTTTCTAAAACCAAGAGGAAAATATTCTAAGCATGATATTATTCCTCTTCATTAAGGAATTACTCTTTATTAAAAAAACAGTATTTTGCAATTACGCTAAAAAAAATATCTAGAAAATAAAATTACTGTAAAAAATAAAAAAATTATTTAAGAGATACTAATCGCATACTTGCTTAAATCTAAGTTCTTTTATTTAAATAAAATAAAAGACAATACACAATTACTGTTACAATTGCTTTTTCATTAATAAACCGGGTTTTTAAGAAAATATATATTTTTTTGGAAACTATTTTATATAATAAATATATATTGTATAATAAATATATAATATATATTGTATAAATAAATATGTTGTTATATATGTATATAGTACCCAACGAAAAAATATTTTTCATTTTTTAGACATTTTTCTTAGTGTAGAGTTCTTTTTTTGAAGTGTTACAATATTTTCCTTTTGGTGTTTTAAAATAATACTCGAATAAAGTTCCGAAAAGGTGACCTTCTAATTTTGCTGTTGATTGCGGTATACTATTGTGCTTTGGTGCGCTGAATATGATTATGAAAATTACCGACAAGATCATTTCCAAAGTCCCAACCTAATCGAACCTAACCCGTTTTTTTATTTTTCCTTGAAAATGACCTTATCGGCAATTTTCATATTCGTAATCAACGCACCAAAATATAGTATTTATGTATCATAATTATATAATAAATCAAAACTTTTTCTGAAATACACCTATTTTTTTAAAATTTGTCCTTGAAAATAATCTTGTCGGCAATTTCATTATCAACTTCATTATCATATTCATGATAAGCGCACCAAAATACAGTAGTATTCCAATCGACAGCAAAATCGGAGGGTTCCCTTTTGGAACTGCATCCAAATCCTCTTACCACACATAACATGAGAAGATTCCACTTAGGATGAGATTATATTTTTTGGGTGTTTGTATGAAATCGCGACAATCGTAGAATGTCTGCAGAATTCAAAACAATTTATTATTTTATGGATACGAAAGATTGTCTTTGCGATCTTGCAGCTGTGGCCATTGTAGTCGGGATAGAATCATGATCCGAGGGATCACATGTTGCATTGAGCACGCTTAAGTGACAGCCAATAATAACTTGACCTAACAATTACGACGGGTCAACAGATCGCGGCAAAACCCGCGTTGCCATCGATCGTTCCGGTTTGCAACACGATCACGATGCCTCCAATGTGAAACAGATTCTTGCCGCGCATCGGTGTGTCGTTTGTAATCCTGATACGCGCGTATCCGCGCTCGAATTTCGCGTCTGAGCGTTACGTTTCATTTGCGTCACGTGAACTTAAGCGTATGTCAAAGTGAATTGCGTCGAGCGATTTCTTTTCGCGCGCATTAATTTGCACTGGGAAAGTAATTCCTGAAGATATAAGTTCACCGCGAATGTGCTTTATTTTTCGCCTCGTTAAATTCGCCTCGCAAAAGTTAAACTATCCATGTAGGTGTTCTTTACCGTGTCTGAGAACGTTCTAACTCCACTGTACTTCCGAAAGCGGCGTCCAGATATTTCGCGCTTCCAAGCCTCGTCGACACCGGCACAGCATGCTTCTGTAAAGTCGCGGGAATTGTCTTATAGAAATTGCAAAAATCGGAGAATTGTTTTATAGAAATTACAGTATCGTTTTGAGCCGCGTGAAATTGATATTGCTTGAGCGGACATGTAATAATTTTGTTAGAAAAGAGAAAATTAAGCACACGATGACGGCTTGAAATAAGATAACAAGCCGGTGAATCGAGAATTTTGAGATGGTCGTATGGAGAGAACCGCGTCCCTTGGCGTCGGTTGCCAGGCAGCTCTGTATTGATCCTTCGATGAATCAACGTCTAGTAGTTTAAGCGGAATCCATCCACGTGCCACCCTAATTCGGATCAAACGCGCGTGTATGATGTAGCACATGGGCGTAATGAAAATTGAAGGGCCGCTCGATTGAAGAGTGGTATATGTGAAAAATAACTCTCGTCGCGTGTTTACACACACAATTGATATTCATGCGCTCGAAAAATTGTGTTTTACATTGCAATGATATAAAAATACGTATAATATTCTTCAAATATAGGTAACATTTTTGATAATTTTAGAGAATTAGCAAATAAATCGTCGATTTACGAAGAAAAATAAATACATCAATAAATAATCGGAAAGAATTAAAAAGTCCCTTAAGTCTAATGTTCACAATAATTTATTAAATAGACATTAAATCTGCTGGCAATTTTAGAAAATTGATAAATAAATCGTCAGTGTATAGAAAAACATAAATTCGTCAGTGAAGAATAAGGGAAGAGATTGAAAAGTCGCTCTAACTTCGTAATTATTTCGCAACAGCTTATTAGAGAGATATTAAATTCACCAGCAATTTTAGAAAATTGATAAATCATCAATCTATCGAGAAAAAATAAAAGTCAGTAAAAGAATCAGAGGGAAACAGGCGAGAAGTCATTTTAGCTTCGTGGTTATTTTACAACAGCGTACTAGAGCACAATTGCAAAAATATCTTCTTCACATTTACGTTAATTTTAGACGGGAAATATGCTTATTTTTTATGACCTCCAAATCTTTCACAAATTTTTCGAGGAATCGGGGTATCTTATCAGTTTCTTCCAATATGACAGCGGCATAAAAGTCGATTGATTTCAGCATGTACGGATACATGAATAACATAATTCCCGATAACAATCGATGATTTATCATACACGAACTGCTAACAGCAGTGAGTCTAAATCGAGCGCCTGCTTGGCACAACAGACGCATGTCATCTACGTAGTGTCAATGTATTTTTATCGTCGATATAGGTCATTGCCGTCGCCCACGTGGTTACGATCGCGGAGATTGATCAGTTGTTCTTCTCGCTCGCGATTTCTCGGGAACACAGTGCCGAATTAAGTTGCACAAATCACCGACCGTCGTCGTGAATATACCTCACGCGGGAATATCTCCAGTATTGCGTAACGCAACGTAACGCGAACGCCATGTTCGACGTGTTCTCTTGCTCGCTAAACGTTCGCGCGAATGTTACGATTTGACGCGTTTCCTGTGCCAGTTTTGCTCAAATTTGCTCTCCTCGCCGCCTCTCACGCGACACGTCCTCACCTTCCCGCTGGAGTGCAGTCTTCTGAACCCGCTCGTTCCGATCCTCACGATTTTCAACATCCTTGTACCCTCGCAGCACCTACCTCAACAAACCGAGTGCCGCTCGCCGATGTATTTTCGATGATTTCACCTGACGTGCGAATTGCGGACGGAGTCGCGAGCGATTCGCGACGTTTCATGAGACGAGTGACTCGAGGAGAGCCGACGGAACCGCGATTTAAGTCGCGTCGCAATTTGCCACCTGAAAAACAGCTCTTCTGACTCTGAACAGAGTCCTTGTTCTAAATTTTCTGATCGATGTCGCACTGCGAACGAACGAACGAACACGTCCGCTGCTTTCTGGATATTCACTCGTACCTGCACGAGTCCATATCCGCAGGATACAATTTATTCGGAATGCTATTCACCTCCGCAAGTCCACACCGCGAATCACCGTAGGTGACGCGTTGACACTAGTACACTTTTAATGCGCGGCAATGACAAAGACGACGGAAGAGGAGACACGAGCGACCCTCGGCGACCCGACGACTAGCGTCTACTGCACCGAGGGTCGTGCGGACGCCCGTGCAAAAACCGGCCGGTGGGACATGCGCGATTTGGGGATGACGCCGTGAATTTCGCGATATAGCCGATGCACGATACACGCACTCGTGGCCGGTCGGATCGCGAGACCATCCCGCGAATTTTTCCGCAGGAAGTGAACCACCGCGGAACGACCTCGACGCGTTATCTCGCTGGAGAACTCTACTGCGAACGTGTGAGATTATATTGGCGCTGTTAAACATAATACAAACGATATAGTTATAAAGATAAAGTGGACACAATGTGATACAAGCAGTAGATTGCTATATGAAAGCTTCCGAAGTGCGCAATTAAATTAAGAGTATTCGAAGGCAAGTCAAACACTGATGTTGGAGTGAACATTTTAATAATAGCATAATATTTGACACATACGAAGATAAAAATTGTGTTAACGTGAAGTTTGTCTCAATGAACGAAGAAACGTGTTTTTAAACGACATGACATTTTTGTGGCCTTTAGTACTCAAATTTGATTCCAATAACCAGAAATTCTGTTTTCTTCAACTAGAACGCGTAGCTCCATTTATCACGATCATATTAGTGTAAACAAACTTTTCTTTTATATGCTAAACAAACATTATATTTTTATTATTTTTTTATATTATTTTTATATTATTTTTTATTTATTATATTTTTTGTATATACTAAACAAAAATTTATCTAAAATTTATTTATGAGATTTGTGGGATAAAATTTGCTCACAGAAATAAACTTTATTTTCCACAAGTAGATTTTCAAGTATTTTTTTCTCAGTGTAGTGTTAACGCGCGAATGGTTTGCTGAACTTTTATAACGTATACGTAATACATTTTCCACGTCAAACCTGCGTTAGCACTGTCAAAGATTGTTATTCTTCCATTAAAGTACTGCTGAAATGTTAAAAATGTTCGTTCTTACATTAGCTCTTTGGCTTTTATTTGTCTCGTAAGTACCAAGTTGCTCGTTCCTCTGATGAGGTAGATTGAAATGTTTAAACATTGGAAACAATTTGATAAAAAGTACAACTCCATATCGATTAAAGGCTCAAATGTGATACGTAAACGAGACGGATCAATGAAGGATAAGACATGGGGTATCGAGGCCGATAAATAGACTAATGAACACTTATTGTTTATTGTCTCGTAATTGTTACACGATAATAATACATTGCGAAGTAATTGTGAAATTCAAACGGTATAAGTCGTCGTATCGAATAATATTGTACCCTATATCTCAGTGTGTATAATTAATAACAAATAATCGCCGTAGATTCCTGTCGTTTCAAACAAGACAAGTTAAAGCAAGATGTGATATGTGAGATGTTGTCTTAGTAAAAAGAACAAAAAACACCAAGTGATATTACACTGATATTAAAACACTGATATTAATAATAATATTAATAATATTAACAATATTATCAATATCTCTCTCATTATTAATAATATTAATATTAATAATCTGCCAAGCACGCGCGCGCGCGCTTTGTTAAATGTGTAAATCTCGATAAAACACAGCTGCCCTGCATATAAAATTATCCTACTAGTCGTGAACGTGATTATCCGACTAACTAAAAACATTACGCGATCGATGAACTACGAGATTCGTACGAGTAGCCAGAGAGTGCGGTGAACTCGTTTCGCGGCGCGTCTCACACATCGTGTGAAACACATCGAGAACTAGTCTCAGGATTAATTCTAGGTTGTACAATAGTCGCACGAAACGAGTGAGGCAGTTTCAGAGTTTATACATCTTAAGTTTATATTGATATTTAATACACTTTGGTTTTCATCTCCTTCTTACTCGAAATTCACGACGCACTTGCAGACGAATCATCCTTCTCAGTGCAAAATTCTACTAATACTTGTAAAAAAAGAAAAAAAAAACACTTATATATAGAGTTACTCAGTTCTTCATCGATTCTCATCGACGCGATCACCGTTTTCGTCGAATCTAGTAGTAAAGAGGAAATGGACACTTCGTCAAAGTCTCCCTTTCCATAGATTCAAATTCGATCGGTAGGTCCCCGAGGATTCTGAAGATAAAAGTTTCGTGTAAATGACGTGTAAACGACTCGAAAAGAGAATCGGGCGCGTCGGGAGTTTATTGTAAATTCTCAACGGTACGTATAAATTGTAACTATATTTTGCGATTTTAAACGTTGCTGCAAAACGGGCAGTATTGCACACATCACCATATCATATGTGATTATTGCCGATTCTATATAAGTTATCATTCGTACCCTTAATACGAACAAAAGTGAAAATCGCAGTTCCAATCCTTATCATCTGCCGGGAAACGCCATCCAAGTCGCCGAGACAAACGTTCTTCTCTTTCAAATATATTTTCAAGGGTTCGAATCTAAAGCCTGATCTACAATATGCTCTTTGCTTCCGGCTTTTTTCTCTTTATCTTTTTCTGACTCAAACCTTAAGTTTTAAAAGACAAAACAGAAAGAGACAGAAGACAAGAAACGGAACGCAAAGAACGTATTGTAGATCTGGCTTAAGGGATATACGAAAATTTGCTTTTCCTTCCTTTCTTCTTTGTATATCTGATTTGTCTAGCACTATAAACTTGCTTTTCCTTTTTCTGTACCTATAATTTTACTTTATAAAAATGATATATCGAGAGAGACACGTCGAATATTTGGACGACATTCCCTATAAAGTCTACGATATCCAATAGAAACTGGAAGACTGTCACATACGTCCAGACACACACGCGAATATCCGAATCCACACGCGCGACAGCCGTACCTATTACGGGGCTGCGTAAAATAGTCGGTTCGAAAATATCGTGAATTTTCACAAGTTCTCAATCTATAATCGGCATTAAAAAGTTGACAGCGCGAACAGGTTGCCCGTGAAGATTCGTGAGAATCGTGAGTGTAGTCGATTATCTCATTCGCGTCATGGGAGACACATTATCGAGAGCGACGCGAGCGAGACCATAAAGATTTATATTTACAGAGGACGCGGTGATCTCTTTTGATTTTATGCGCGCAAAGCAAGAGAAACCTCGGTTCTATGATATAAATAGGATGAGTAGATGGTGAAGGAGGATGGTAGAAGAGGATGAAGAGATTGTTCGCGGACGAGAATCTCCCGTGGAGGAGGTTCTCGTTGACGAGGATAGACGATGAAAAGAGAGTGCTTCTCGCTTAAGAATCCTAACGCCGATCCGCTTAAGATCACCATATTTTAAGTACACTAATTTTACATACGTCAGTCAGGTAAATCTATCCTGAGAGCGAAGGCAACCTTCATTGTAATCGCGTGCGAGCCATTTTGCGAGTGACGCGAGTTCGATTTGTACGTGGCGAAAACGAGAAACGGTGTTTTCATGTGTGTGCATTCGTGACGCCAGTTTCTGCGTCTCGCTTCGATCTCGTGTTACTTCAGCTTGCGCCGATTTCAAAATGGGCTCACGTGAAATTGGCCGCGCCGGATCCGCGGTCGATTGTCGCTTACATTACGTTGGCTGATCGCGAGACATCATCAAATGACCTGTGCGACCGGATCGCGAGGTTCCTCGAGTCTTTGAGGAAGTCACGTAAAGACACGCACTCGTTATGTACACCGAGAAAATATCGTAGTGAAAATTACAACGAAATTTTGTAGTACAATAATTATGATAGAAATTACATTTGTCGAAAAATGTCATACATTTTTTGTTACAAAATTGTTGTAATTATTTGAACGTTCCTCATATCGTATTTGGTATAATATTTACTATTTCTATAGTATATATTATCGTAGCAAATATATACTATGTCTATAATAAATGATCATAATTGATATTGCAATATCTCAGCATGATTTAGTTTTACAAAAACTAAAAAATTGTGAAATAAAGGAACATAATCTTAACAATTTTTACTACAATATTTTCTTCGTGTATACGTGGTCTCGATACGGTTTGGAGATTTTCTCCTCGATACAGTTTGGAACGCAACCGATAGTACAAGAGTACTATAATAGTTTTTAATTGACACTGTCTAATTTTACTTTGGAAACCCTTTCCACAGACTATTTCGTGTTTTTTTTTTATGTAAATATGCAAAGCAGTTTAATCATATGAACATAAAAAAAATTCTCGCTGTCAGACGCACGTGACGTCGTCTTTCATGAAAGATCGTGGCACATGTGTGACACTAACAGCGAACGTATTAATTAGCAAAAATTAGATTCTCCCGTTGGAGCATCGGCTACGTTCCAAGTTGCATTCGCCAAACCTTCTTGAAACCAAGCGTGCATTTTCAGCACTTATCGCAACGCGACGCGACACTAGTAGAGATCCGTCGCGTCGATTCGTACGAAGTAAAGCTCTAAGATCAGCGAAGTCGCGACTCTCTGATCTTTCTTCCACCGTCAGTTCACCGTGGAGAACGCGGTCTCTTAAACTAAGATTGCAACTGCAATTAATTGACTGTGACAACAGTAAAAATTAATTGAAATGGTACAGCGCTTTCACGTCGATGTAACCGGAGGCGGAGATTTTCCAACATAAAAATCACTTCCGACCACGGTGGAAAAGGGATCAGCAGCGCACTTTGCAACTACATCGCGCTCTTACAAAATCCATCATCACACACTTTCTCTCGAGTCGAATCGAACAGCAACTAGTCGACACGTACGCAACTAGCACTATCAAAAATAGTACCATTCCCACTACGACGGTTCTACGAGAGGTATAGCGTCGCTCACGAACGATTATACCCCTTTCCCCGCATAGAGAAAAAAGATTGACTGTATTAACATGACGACGACAAATAACTACACGCGTTTTGCTTCAAGGAGATGGAATTTCTTAAGAATCGAATTTTATTCATATATCATTAAGTTTTCAAATCTAGGTGATACGTAAACTTGCTCTTTCTTTTATCCTTTTTGTGCTTCCAGAGAGGCACGTTCCACTTATTAAAAATGAGATTATCGAATGAATTGCCACTAACAGAATACTTGTTAGTTCTTATGAGTCGAATTTGTTTCATAAGTAAAATTCCTGAATCTAAGAGAGAATAAAACTGAATTACCAAAACATAAGAACTAACTAAGAAATTGTTATAAAATTGAATCCGGTTTATAAGAACCAAAAATTTTGTTAATGAACTAAATTCGGTTCATGAGAATCTCAAATTTTATTTATGAACTAAATTCGGTTCATACAGAAGAACCAGAAGTTCCGTTTCCTTCAAGCGAAACGCGTCTAGTTGTATCATTGTCGTGAATTCAATCAATTCCTTTTCTCTATGCGTGTATCACATCGCGGTAGATAGGATTCCGCAAGGGCCGCTTCATCCTACTCGCGACTCGATCGTCTCTCGAACGGCCCCCGTTCTCTCTGAGTGTAACAGAGCTCCGTTTCAATAAACGCTACGTTAAATCACCGTGTCCTGATAAGCGGGTGGACCGCTGAGGACGAACTGTCGCTGACTCTGTCTGACCACGTCGGTCCGATTGGGCACCTGCGGCGTCGCCCTGACACCATGATAGTTACTGTAACTGGACCTGGCGCTAGCTGGTCGATTACCATACAGCTCCTCGAGGTCTTCGCCGTTCAAGCTCTGTGTGCTCGTCTGCTGGAACGTAGGGTTGCTCTGACCTTGCCACTGCATCGGGCTGAGCTCGGTCGTGGTCTGCCAGTTGTCAGTGAGATTGCGGGTGGAACTGCCCCTCGTCTGATCCCAGTCTAGCGAGCTCTGCGCTTGGCTTGGATAGCTGGACGCGTTCGAGTAGCTGTTGGGTATTTCTTGGGGCCACAGGGTCGGTGATGACACCGCCATGTTGACTGCCTCTGGCTGCCAGTTGGTGTCACGACGAGAGTCGCGGTCCCAACCGACCGACGAGATTCGGTCATAGTTGAGGGAGCCTGATTGCGAGTTGAGCGTGTTGACGTTCTGGTTCGTGAGCTGACTGATGGGCCCGGTGTTGGCGTACAGGTTCTCCTGGTGGTCCATGATTCGGTTCACCGGGTTCTTCCGGCGCGACTGACGTACCGAGCTGCGTCTGCTCGAGCGGCGCGTGCCGTCCCGCGAAATCACCGAGCGTCGTTTCACCCTGCGCGGGGTCATCGGCTTCGGTGACACGCTGTCGTCCTGCACCGGCGGCTCCGGCTGCGAGTACTCGATGCTGTACAGCGGCCGCGGCTGCTTCTTCCGTCGCTTAGTTCGTACTGTCGGAGAAACAGAGCAGACGATCAGATTCCGGGTGTGATCGGGTCGATTTGTGGGGTTTCGGGGGCTGAAACTCGCTGATCAAATGCAAAAGCGATGTCGCTCATTCGACACGCGTGACTTTTGGCGAGCGACGCCGAGATCCGTGTTATCATTACTGACGATTTCGAGTGTTACGCGTTTTCGAAATTTCCATCGCGTGTGGCGACAGTCTCTTCTCGTAAAATAACCTCTTTATTGCGATATATATAAAAAATTAACTCTGCAGGAAATCGCAGAGAGTTTGGATCCAGAAATATTACTTGAGAAACGGGAACGTTAAAATTAAAATATATAAATAGAGAATGAAACTGAACTGAAATAAAACTGAGTAGAGTGGAAAAAAAAACAAATAACACTGATTAAGAAGATTCCCCAGAAACCGCACAGTAGGAAATTGTTAGAAAAGGAAAAAAAGAAAAGAATGAGGGGTTAATAAATAAAAAAGCAAGCAGTAGCAGCATTGCACATTTATTGTTCCCAATTAACTGCACCAAAGTAAACAACGTGATACAGTGGTTAAATACAAAACTAATCGTGTGTGTAACGGTCTTAAAAAAATATAAATATACTGTACAAGCTCGAGGGGTGCTCGATAGATAGACTGTACCTTGTTCCGGAAATATGAATCTGAAGTGACAAAGAAACCTTGCGGTTTCTTCTTACTTCATCCTTCACTATAGTTATATGTTATAATCTCTTTACTTATATGCGCGTGTATATTTCTCTAATAAATAAATTCCTCTGTCTAAGTACTATGCAAAAATAGATATATACAGTTTGATATATGATCTCTTTATCTCATTACACTCTATAAATAGGATATCGTGTTTGAGAAATCGTATGCAACTATCAAAGATAACAATCCTCGTAATACGACGCACCCGCGTGTTATTCTAAAATATATTTACTCAATAAATAATTACTGTCTCTTCTCTCGGTACTCGGTTGATATAAAAATTAAGCTGACCTAAGATACGCATCTACATCTTCCTTGGCAGTCTTTCTTTTTTTTCTTTTCTGTTCTATTCGACGTATTTATAAATATACGTACTAACTACTACTTCTTAAGTTTACACATGAAACGACCAACGTGATCTACTATAAATATATATACTTCGCGTGATGTCACTTCAGATTTCGTATCAAATCATACAATATAACGCAAAAATATATTTCTCAGTCATCGGTGTAGTAAACGTTAAAGCGAACAGAAATCTTCGAATGCGCTTGCTACAAAACTTTCGAAAAAATTACGTATATATATGTAAGGGAGGAGAAGCCTCAATTTTTAAATGTTCTCGCGTACAGAGAGTGAATATTCCACATTCACACATAATTGATTAAGTCTAAAGTTTTAGATGCTATGGTGTCTCTTTCTTCTACGAAATGGCTAAACTACGGCGGAGGCTCGGAGGAGTCGAAAGTATCATACGTGTGACAATACTGGGTGGGAAATTATAAAAAAAAAAGAACAATCGAAATTACCATGCACTACCAAAGTCTTTTTAAATACCGTACGATAAAACTGTTCGTAGCACCGGGTCAAACTCAACTGTGATCGCAGCTGTGAAATAGGCTAATCAAATGCGGTCTACTTGCTTCGAAGCATTGGCTCGACGCCGCTATTCGCCCATTCCACGACCGTGACTTGATAGTTTTTTGTTTTTCTGACAAAGAAGTGTGTTACTCTTTACACATGGATATCTACGAGCAAAACTATGGGAGAACAACAACGTGGCTGTCTCGGGATTTTCTCTCACACGTAAATTCGTAGGAGATGGGTGTTAGACAAGAAAGCTGTAGAGATAAAAAAAACTCGCCACACTCAAAGGTAGTACAGAGTTCAGTCATGCCATATTTTAACCACCAACACTCTCTACTACGTAGCGTGCAACAAGATAAATCTGTCCCAATGCAAATGATTGTCAACATACCGCTAATCTCGAGTCTCTCAGTACTACATCGTATATAAAATGATATAAATATTCCGCGTGATCTTTTCAAAACGGCTTCTATTTATACATATCACAGTATATATGCATCAAGGCGTGTCTCTGTTAATGTATACGTCACGTGTACGAAAACCGTGATGCAGGATGGTCCACATTTATCATTCAGTTGCTCTAACTTTCGAAAATATGCACGTGCGTATCAATTAAATGATAATATTACTTATTATTTAACATTACAGATATAAAACAGTCTATTATTGACGTCTTCTTAGTCACATTGACACTTTAGAGAAAAAGTCTAAGCCTGTCTTTTCTTTCGCGACAAGCATTGCAATTGAACTCCATGCCACTCTGCAATTCCAAAGGAGAAACTCACAACTGAAGCTGTGAACAACATTCGCTGATCGCAAGAAAAACCAGGTTTTTCTCAAGTGTCAATGGCCAAGGAGTATCAATAATTAGATGTTTCACCTACAGAGTGTTTTACTCTACGTGATCTTCTCTCGGCATTTCCCGAAAAAATGTCTCAATTCGCGAGAGAAAAAACGTCGACGTTAACTTCATATCTCGCGTTATCGCAGCGTTGACACTCGAGATTAACCCGATCGCTTATGCGTGCGCGTTAAACAGCTGAAGAAGTGAATGGTAATTGTGGGAAGACCCTAGCTACGTAAGATCCATGAATTAGTTGGTTAAGTCGCAAGTTCGCGCTGATTGTTCGTGACGAACGAGCAGAAATGTTACTTGAACACGCACACATACACGCACACGCATACATAACCCGACGTCAGTCGATTGTAACGATGCAAAAACACGAGGAGAAGAAGACCGATATATGTTGTTACAAGATAAAAATTACACGTGTGAGACGAGAGAGAACGACTCGTGGTCGCTAGGCTGATCGATCGATTAATTGCTTGCTTGCTTGATTAATTGATTGACCGACTTACTAATTGATTGCCGAAGGCAAGGGGGCACCTAAGCAAGATGGCTACGCTAATTGTTCTATCTATTTGGCAAGTATAGGAATTAACAGAAACATTGAAAACATACCGCACACCGTGGACGCCGTGTATGCGCGGGGGCGGCGGGGGAGGGAGCGAGGGGACGGCGGGACAGTATAGAGAGAAGCTCGCATCTAAGCTAGTTCGCAACATGGGGGGACACTCAACCACGCATCCACCTCGTTAAAGACAGCAGAAGATACAGCGTGCGCGAGGGCCATTTCGCGGACGGTCTCGCTCGCGATCAGGTCTTTATGCTGGGCTCTCGACGCGAATTTGCAAGAACGCGGCGGTGTGTACAAGTCGAAGGACGAGAACCCGTGGTCGGCGTCGGTCAAAAGTTACTCGCGTACAGGGACAAGGGTCGGCTGTCGCGTTTCGACTGGGACGATCTGTCGCGCTCGCTCGTGGATTGATGCTGCTCGACTGCCAATCTCGGGTCGGAGTAAAACGACCTCAGGGGTTGATCGCGTACGTGATCGGTGAAGAGCCGCGGTCTGCCGTGGCCGCCGCTTTTGCCGGCGGTGTGCTGCTTGGCCGCGGCCGGGCGCAGCTTGATACGCGCTACCGGGCTGTACTTGGCCGAGTGCGGGTAGTACAGCCGGTTTTTCTGATATCTCAGCTTAGCTGCGCTGTCCAGCGAGTCGTACTCGTCGTACGACGGCGACACCGGCCGCTGCAAGTGGTCCAGCGGATTCGAGTAGTCGGTGGTGTAGTCTATGCCCGGGAAATCGCGACTCGGCGAGCGGTTACTGCGATTACTGCGGACCGTGCCGCCGTCGCCGTTCCTGAGAGCGTCGGCTACGCCGCGCGCGGAACCGTCCAGCAGCAGCTTCTCGCCGCCGCGTTTCGGAAAGCCCGACTCGCGACAGGTGGACTGGTGCGAGCTAGCTGTGCCGGTCGGGTAATTGAGGGTGGAATTCTTTTGGGAGTAGGCGGGTGGTGGAAGAGCCGAGTAGCTAACGTACATAGGATGCAACGGCGTGTGGCCTGCCAGCCCAAAGTCATCGCCTCCGACAAAGTCAACTGAAAGATCATTCAAGAATCCATCGCATTAGAGAGACAGAGACAGAGAGGGAGGGAAAAATGTGAAATCCACTCGGGCCGCGAGCGGTGAGATTAGGTAATCGCGTTGAACGAGCCGCGTAGCCGACCGAATTGTCCGCGCCGAAATTAAAGGCGATTGCTCGCGATTCTATTCTTCGTTTCTTGTTCCGTTCGTATCTTCTCCCTCAACGTATCGGGGAAAGAGAGAGGAAGAATCGTATCTTTTCATGTCCTCGCTCGTCGTACTCGATCGAATTACGCGTCTGCTTTTGTCTCTGTAATCATGTTTATGAGATCCGCGAGAGGTAAAAATCCGTCTTTTGTACTATGTTGGTGCGCAATACCATTCCGTTCATGCGAAGATAAGGAAACGCTACTCGAGGCGGTGAAACAATAGTGATGATAACGACAATAAGTACGAGTCACAAACCCCAAGATGCAGAAAGTTTTACACTGATATCTGTATACTCAAACATAATAGTATACTCTGGAGCTTCATGACCGTACTAGCAGAAATTATCTCGTCGTGCCAAGATGAATAAATACGTATATATATATATAGATATCTATATGGCGTGCAATTGATAAACATGATTAAGCGGACTTACCAAAATGGAGGATCAAATCCACCAATGAAATCAACTGTAACCGACAACCCTCTTTTCAAGCAATAATAGATAATCGCGTGTACTTACATAATTTTTAGTGATATATCAATGATGTCCTAATTCTTTATCATTAACTAAATGTCAAAAAGATGTGCTTTTACAAGCGGAGCGTAAATTCACAAAATAACTTCGGTGCGAATTTCGGGTATATGCTACTGTGCCATTGAGATTAAATTCTGATGAAAGCACGCGTCAAAATTAACGAAAAATCTAGCGATTACAGATTCCGTTTTTCTTTTTTTTTTTTTTTTGAAAATTGTTTGACTCTTATGAGAAAAACAAAAGCTGATCGATCTTTGAATTCTTGGTTATCCTGTCCATCGTTCAAATATTTAATAATATTCACATATGATGAAAAAGAATAATCGCGAACATCATAATTTATTACTTCTAAATGTGTTTTTTGAATATATATAGAATTTTCATAATAACTGTATGTTGCTCTCATTCGATTATCGTGAAACCACGGGCCAAAGTGTGAGATAAACCTTTTTCTTTGAAAATTTTAAAACTAAAATACACTTGAGCTTATGAGTATTTCAATATAATTCGTGACAGAAACTTTAGGTCATTAAGCTAACTGAAGAATATAATTGCTAAATCGCGTATACTCACAGCTATCATCTTCCTCGAGGAACACTTTACTCAGACAGATCCCACCGACAATCGCCATTAACTGAAATGTACAGAATGAACTTGGCAACTTTCGAACTATAATTAAATACGATATCAATCTGTCGTTATACGACGTGCAGCGCATCACGTTTCGCGATGTAATGAGTTCTCTACTTACACCTAAAATACATTGTGTCGCTGCGTGTAAAATTTCTATCACTTCGTAGTTCAGCACGCAATCAGTCACATTAGAGGGACGTGCGGGTCGAAACAGCTCCGGTTCCATAACATCGTAAACAGCTTTGCAGCCTGGTCCATTAACATGCCACCACGAGAAACTGCCGGTGCCAAGGTTGAGAATATCGCTATTCTGAAAGATGATATCGCGACACATTACATCCAATACGTTTATATAATCTGATATCTCAGATAATGGTTCGCGTTGCGTTGCATGAACGTTCGCGTTATTAGTTGAGAATATCATTCAGATGTAGTAGATCGATATTGTGTAATTGTCTACATTGTGAAAGAAAAGATATTAAATAAGAATATTTGGTGGGTGTATTCTAACAACATATTTACTTAAATCTGAACTCTTTTATTTAAATAGAATAAACAATTGCTTCCGTAAAGAGCTAAGGTTGTAAGAAAATATACATTTTCTTATTTGAGAAATATTTTATGTCAGTATGAGCAGATATGTTGTTAGTTTCCACTGAATAAATACATTTTATTCATTAGATATTTTTCTCTCACAGTGCACTTACTTTGTCCAGTATTCCTACATTGAGGTAAAAGCATATTATAAATATGTTCCATCCTAGCCATAATGTGTTCCATACACAATACTGAAACAAAATAATATTTGTATTATTGTCATATTATAATTAGCATTATTACATACGTTAAAAACAAAGCTGTACGCTTCTAGTTCCGTGTATATCAATTTTCACTTGAACAGACGTAATTCATATTGTGCCCTCTTTTTCATCGCACTACAAGGCTCTTATTGACCTCTCAGCAAATCGCTTTGATCATATATCATCAGAGCCTTGAATTGTTTACTTTCTTGGACATAATTCATGCGTTTCGCAATGTCTATCTACGTACCGATATGATATATCTAGGTCTGTATTGAAAGGCCCCAAAGAATCCTAGGATCACGAAGATAATGTTGAAGAAGTTGACCAGTATCGGAGCCCACATAAACCCCAGGAAGTCGAACACTTGGCGCTCTATCGTGGTAATCTGTAAATAAGAGTGAAGTGAAGTAAAGCGACAGACCAGCCACAGAGCCTACATATAATAAGCGCCAAACGCGCAAATGGGCATAACACAAAGTAATGATCGCAGTGACAACGAGCGTCTCAGTTTCTGCTGATTCCTTTCGGTGCGCGTTCTTAATCTGCGGCAATTGCCCTGTGTTCTAAATAGTCGGTTAATTACCCATTCTGAGTCATAGCACTTGATGATGTCGCTTCATATACATGTCTATTTGAAATATCGCCCGGAGTTTTCTTAATTTCCCTCGCAAAATGATTTATTTCGCATCATCGCCACGATCGGCGAAATTAAAGTAAAAAAAAAAGAAATAAAATAGGATACATTATACGAAAAAACAATATAAAAAAATATATAAACTTCATACGTAAAAGTAAAGCATGAGAAGTGCATCTGTAGAAGTACAAATATTTTTTTTGTTTACTTTTTAGGATCTCATTTTTCAAAACGTTACAAAATTCCTTTTCAATAGAAATTTACAGCAAAGTGAGTCATAAAAATCGACCGTTAAAAATTCGACAATTATCTCCGGCAGGCTAGCTGCCATTCAAGAAAAGCCATCCCGCTTGCCACAACTACATCCCTGCGATTATGGTATGAAAAAACGTGTTATTCGTTGCGTGTAGCGATGTGTAAAAATTGCACTCGGAGTGCAGTCGTCCCGACGCCAACGGCGTCCGTCGGGCGACAGGGGAAAATCCGCGAGGTGCACTTACGAGGCTAGAGAATTTTCTCGAGATAAACTCAAGGCGCGTGACTCAGGTCGATGGGATCAAAATAATCTCCTACTCATGTCACCTTTGTCAGGTGGACAAAGGTCTTGTGTGGCGTCTAAAGACGTTTTCGCAATTTTTCCTCAATTTTCTGCCGATAGTACGTGCGCGTTCGCGCGGCCGGATATATCGTGGCTAACGACCGTATCGCGGTATTACCGAGATAAAAAACAAGGAGAGTTAGACGTGACCAAGCCGCGGATAAGAACACGCCGTGTGTACGTGTCAGTACACGTACGCACACATACACGCACGCACGCACGCACTCTACAAGCACGGGCGTCGTGTGTCCGCGTGTTATCGTCCGCGCAGCGTGTGTGTCCGCGGAGCCTCACCAGTTGAAGAACGCATATCGTCAGTAGAAAGTGCCTTCTGCTGCAAATTCCCATGTCATCTGGCCGCGCTCCGCTCAGCCACGAGCGATCTCATGCGGGACGATCGGAGCACGCAACGGTACGGCCGCGCACTTGCATCACTGGACTACTCTGGCACGTTGCGATGCGCCGCCGCCATCTTCCTTTGACCCCGTAGCTCGGCGCGGACACTTGTTCCTCTTGCCCTTCGACCGCCGCGGCTGGTGTGCTCCGTTCGTGGCCAGGTGGCTGTACACTCACACCCCCTGTTGCTGCAGTACGCGCAGGTCGGCGGACGACCAGCAACTGCCGCCAACGCTGCACATGCGACCGTTCCTGCTCCGCCTGCACCTGCGCCTGCGTTCGACAGCACGTGACCAGACCACGTGACGGGCGCAATCGTACGAACTTAGGCGCGTCGCACACACGGGCCACGTTCGATTGATAATTGGCTTCATTGCCAAATGATTTCAACAAAAGACTACGCGGAGTTTGGTCTAGGTCTTTGGTCTACGCTGGTCGCATGAATGACGGATATGCGCGCGCGCTGAAAAGGTTCGCTCACGAATTTTGCGAGCACGGGGCGCCGGAGACTCATGAAACAGATCTGCGATCAGGTCTGCCAACCGACGTCAATAATTTGCCTACTGCCAGAAAAGAAGAAAATGAACTCGGAAAGTTCAGCAGAGAAAGCTGCTCCGCAACTGTTGTAAGATTCGGGAATCTGATTAGTGTGAACTCTTAATGTAGACTGAATCTAAGGCCCATATTAATAGCTGTTAACAGTATTGAGAAAAAAAACGTGAAAATTTATTTGTGCAATGTAATGTTTACTTTCGTGAAATAAAGTTTACTTTATTTTTTAGTGAACTTTATATCTTGCCAGTCAATTTTCAGTGATTTTCTCAGTCTGTATATATATCCAGTCCGGTATTATTTTCCTAATATATATATATATATATATATATATATATATATATAATAAAATTATCTCATATAAAAGATATGATATCTCAGATATCTCAGATTTTTATTCAGAGTTATTCAGAGACTCAAACTTTTCAGTTGAATTATGATATAGGTGACATTTTTCCTCTGCAATCGCACGATTCAATCGAAAAACTCTCATCTAATTCTGCGTTTCTCACTTGAGTGACGAGTTTCAAGTAATAATAATTAATGTCGGCCTAACAGCATACACCAATCAGACACACGAAATTTACAGTAGTTGCGAAGCATCTTTCTCTGCTGAATGCAGCCGTTATAGTTCTCAGTCAAAGATGTGTTTGACGCTATCGATGGTTGTGTCGTGAACCACTATATTCACGTCGCAAATGTCATATTATGCAAGACCATGCACGCGTAAACTCGTAATTCATTATGAAAGTATTTAGCGGAAACGTGATTTACCGTAATAATGTGAAAATTGCTGTCAATGATTCAAGAATGCTCGGTAACGCGAGGCCCCTGAATTACTTCCGAGGATAATTCAAGTAGACTGGGCTTTCAGCGTCAATACTGTCGAAGCTGCCGAAAACTCTTTACTTTCCGTGCTTGTGGTGCTTTCGCTCATGCACACGCGTCCTCGCAGACGGTAAAATCACACAAAATTATTATTAGAATTTGATTTACCCAATAGCCGAAAGATCGGCCCGCGAACAGCTGCAATAGCAAAAACAAGTCCGTTCATAAAAATATTAATCTCAACATATAAATTGCAACATAAAACTTCCGATTTTCGAATGAGAAGAAGGTGTAAAAAGACGCGCGATTTTCAGAAGACCGCGATTGCCGTCACGTATTACTCGATAATGAGAAGAAGCGCAATCCCAACGAGGCGGAACGTTTCTTGGATCGCGGAGATTCCAAAATTGTCGACAATTCCCCGAAGACTCGCGCGACCAAGAACGATTCTGTATGGCAAACCGATTGGGATTCTAGCGCGCAAATCTCAAAACGAACTAGTCGAACGAAGAACATCCGTAGAAGACGTGATAGCGGACGTTCGCTAACACCCGAAAAAGGTTGTCTATGAAGAATCGCGAATAATCTAATTAAGTTGTTATTACGCTGCTAAATTCGACCGTTCGGCTCGAAATCGTAATTCTTTGCTCTCTACATTGTTCTCTTTACACGGAGAGAATTTTATAATATATTACTGTAGAATTTTATATAGGAATATAAATCAACATTCTGCAATAATTGACTATCTTTTCATCTTATGTGTGCTGCTTACATTTTACAAACTGAAAAAATGTACTATTAAAAAATTTTCTAGGAATTGATTACACATAAACAAATATTTGAAAATTTATTGGAATATAAAGTTCGTTTACAAAAATAAACTTTATATTTCGCAAATTTTCAAGCATTCTTTTCCTCAGAGTAGCAAGATGGATCTTAATGAGAGAAAAATATTTGAAAATTTATTTGCAAAATATAAGGTTTATTCACAGATATAAAATTTATGTTTCACGGAAATAAACTCTTTAGAATCCCTAAAAAATAATAAATTTTTAACTATTTTTTAGTATACTAACAGTCTATTCTTGCGCTACTTAAAATATAGTAAAACTATTGAAAATTCTTTACAATAAAATATAACCAAAAAATGAAAAAAAACTATAATGTTCTTTCCGTGTAAAATATAGGAAAAAGAACAACAAAAAGCAAATTGCAAAAATTATTTTCAACTTGGCTTCTATTGTCCTTCTTATATTTTTAACCGAATTACTATTATTACTATTATTATTTACTATTATTTATTTTTTTCCTCTTTAATTTCTTTTCTGTTATGCGAGAGTCAAACGATTCGCGTTCCCGATGTGTATTTGTAGCGCGGCAAACGCGACCACTTACTTAAACTCAAAGTTACGATTTTGCGCGTCGCGAATGAAAAATATATCTTGGTCGAGAAGCATCCGCGAGAAATGAGGTGCCGCGCGGCCGCATTTAGCACCGAACATGCGATCAACGCAATGCATATGCGACGGATTCTTCGCAGGTACGGCTCTACTAAGGTGCAACGAGGGCACGTTTCGCGTGCGCAAGATATACGGCGATGGTAATTGCATGTTCCGTGCGATCAGCTACATTCTGTGGCAAAACGAGGAAGAGCACCGGTCGCTCCGTTCTATGGTCAGTCCGCAAATAATATAAACGTTACATATAGCTGTACATTGAGCGAGCGCGCGCGTGCAAAAAGAGAAGAGGGCAAAAGAAAACAGAAATTGCGGCCGTGACGAAAGAACGATCGTGCTCTCGTACGAAAGATCGAGAGTGGAATCGCGATCCGACACGACACACGTTTAGCAGTCAAATCGAATAGATGCGAGCGCTTAAGCGTCCTCTCTCACGCGAGCGTCTCGAGACTCGAGGCGGGAGCTTCGCGCGACAATTGATTTATACGACGCGCGTAAGAGCCCGTGGCCGTCGTTTGGCAGGTTGTGCGGCACATTACGGACAATTGGCGTGAGTACGGTGCGTTCGTGGTGGCCGAGTGGAACATTTCGGACCGGCAGGAGTACCACGATTACATGAGCCCGGTGGGTACATACGCCTGCGAGCTGGAGTGCACGGTGGCCACCAAGCTCCACCGCATGAATCTGTCCATCTATCGCGAGCTGGCGAGCTACGAACTCAGGCTGATCTTCCACAATCGCGTGCACGCCAACTGCGAAACCGCGAGGCTCCTGTTCACCGGATCCTCCGAGAACGGTCATTACGACGTGCTGCTTCCCGATTATCAAGCGTTTATATGAACTGTGGTAGCGACGCGACCTGTCCGAAAGCCAAACCGGGGTCAAGTGGAAACCGGAACACACTCGCGTATCGATGCTCCTGATGCCTCACCGCGGAACTCTTGATCGGTGAAAGCGAGATCAGAAGCGCGAAAATCCGCAAAGTGCATCGAAATGTCCATAAAATGACATCGACAATCGAACACCGTACACATTTGCAAAATAGTCCGGATACTTTCCTTTTGCTCTAACAATCGATAAATTGCCATCGAATTAACGCGCTTCCTAAATTTCTTGAATCTCACTCGAAACGAGCGAAAAGCGGTAACTGGAATCTGAGTTCAAATCTGAATATCTCACTTGAGACGAGTTTCAAATAATAATTATTGATACGAGTCTTAGGCCCACATTAATAGTAGTAATTACTTGAAACTCGTCTCAAGTGAGATGTTCAGATTTCAATTTAGAGTTAGATGAGTGTTCTTGAGTTGAAAATCGTGACTACAGATATAAATGTCTTATATACTTATTATAATTCAATTGAAGAACTTTGATCTAACTCTGAATAAAAATCTGAGTCAACTGAGACTAGTTGCAAGTAACAACTGTTGATACCTTGGAGAATGACATGCAACCTACCTTTTTAATCTATGTTTTCTCATGGTTCTATCACATTAATTTTAGTTATTTATTAGTTGTTAAAGCAAAAGGAAACTATTTGGGCTATTTTACAGATTTTCTCGATTGTTTTCTCGTTTATGTCATTTTGTGAACATGTCAATTTGCTCCAATGTACTTTGCACGAATTTTTAGCGTATATTTTTTCGTTTCTGACGTCATAAATCAAGATAACCGCAGCGAGAAAATGGCCGATACTACTTGATATTCCTCGCTGCATCTCGAATTGCGCATGAACGTATCGTAACTCGTATAGTGTAACTGGTGACAGATTAAAATACGAGAGGACATATGCGGAGGAAGCACACATGGCATTTGAGTTTATTAGGATCATGATTACACGCGATCTGATTGACAAATAAATAATAATAACAAGTTGATGATGAATATCATGTATGGATGAAATTTGTAAATAACATGGTAAACTTTAAACACTAGATGAACGATGAAAAATGTACGGACGAGTTGTGCGCATTCGTGAACAAAGAAGTTTGAGTATCCTTGGTAAAAATTTCTCCTCAAAATCGCGACAGCTGGTTTATCGAGTCTACGTAAACACTTGAACTATTCGAATACGTTTATGAATCCTTGCACTACTCGTGGGAAGGCACTCGTTACTCGAGCTTCGGGCAATCGTTAAAGCTTTTTGCCGTCCAGCTGGAGTAAATTCTCCGACGTTGAAAACGCGAATTCCCACACTCATGTCGGCGGTCGACTCTGGAATGCTTCACGCTTCATGAGCAAGAACAGGATTTAAAGGGAATAATCGCATCCCCGCGTGTGAAGCTATTGTGTGACCGCCGTGATTGCACCGTACATCATGCGGCTGAAATACAAGATCGTATGGAGTCAATTAAAAATTCTATATTGTGTGTGTATCAGAAAAATTATATATATATGTGTATGTATAATTTTATATTTATATATATATATATATATATATATATATATTTATATATAACACATATTTATATATAACACATATTTATATATAACACATATTTATATATACACTATCATAATGTATGAATATAATTCCGATAATTTTCGTTCTACTGCGCGATTCAACGATGCAAGAATTTTATTACTTTAGCAAATAAGAATAAAGTATATAATCACGTTTAAATGCAATATAAAGCTCTATAATAAAAATTTTTTCACAACTTTTCATTGTTTTTGAAATGTAGCTAATACACCTTTAAATAACTGACCGACATTGTTACTAATGAAAAATAACATTGAACGTTAGATTCATTACAATTAGGCAATTTAATTTCGTTCTACAGTCTTTCTTTTTCTTTCGTTCGCTCTCAGTAGCCACTGGTCACCGTAAAAATACAGTGCCGTGCTTTATTTTTCGTATTATAATATTTTAGTGTAATCTTGCATGTAATTCTACAAAGTTAACTAATTGACAACCATAAATTACGCAGTCGTCAGTTGAACTTCACGTTTTCGTCAGTTGATGCAAAAAACGAACGTTTAATTGACTTCTCATTTTTCAGTTCTTTTTATTACATTTACATATTTATCACGTTTGATCAAGGGTCATTAATTTGGTCGAATTAAAATTTTCGAATTGCCGAGTTTACAATTTTCGGTGCAACGGATCGCGAGTGCATGCCGGCTATCGGTCGACTCTCATTCGCGCAGGTCTCGCTTTACCTTAGTCGGTATAGTATCTTGGAGCTCCAACTGATGTGCACATTGCACTGGTCCCTCCTGATCGCTTGAACGACCTCCTTGGCTACTTGTTGCTCGCTTTCCCTCATTGAACTGTAACGTAACGTGCCGAGTTGACTCGCGAAACAATCGCGAAACTCCTCGCTTATTCTTTCTCTAGCGGAGCAGCGGGTCTCGATTAAAAATGAACAATTACGTAATTCAGCTCACCCGTGCTCCATCGTCGGTGACACCGCGAGGAAAGTGAGGCGACTGCTGTGGTTGCTTAATTCTTGACTTATGCTTTCCATAATACCTGAAAATGAATCATGCGCTGTCGCTTGACATTTATCACTTCCACCACGCATAATTTTAACGAGCGGTCTTCTATAAAACACGAACTACCCACCAGTGATCGCGGTCCTCGAAGCCAAGTATCCGTCGTCAGTGGACGCAACCGGCGTGATTCCGACAACGTACGCTCTCCGGTCGCGTTGTAGCATGTACGGCAAAAATGCCAACGTCGCCTGCAATGATAAAAGTTTGTGAAAGGGGAAGTAAAAGAGAGTTCCGCACGAGTATGCGGAAAACTAGAAATTGATTAAAACGAATCGTCTGAAGGAACGCAAATGCAAATCAGTTAGGACAGAAAGGTCGGTGATTCATAGCCGGTTTCTCAAGGCAAGCAGAAATATTTAAGAGACATTTTATGCGAGATGACGCGAAATATCAATGACCTTGACAAGTTGAAAAATTGTTCATTAAATCAGGAAACGAGCTGCGAAACGAACTACCGCTTTATGTAAATTGCCACGTGTTATGTTGATAAATCGAAAGATAAACAAGAAATAAAGCGCGGTACTACATTTTCAGGGTGACAAGTTGAGAGCAAATAAAGGAGAAAGAAAGGCCGTAGAACAAGATTAAATTACCTAATCGCTACCAAACATTCAATGTTATCTTTCATTAGTAACAATTTTCAATTAATTACTTAAAGATGTATTGACCACATTTTGAAAACAATGAAAAAATATGATAAAAAAATTGAAGGTATTATAGAGATCTATATTGCATAAATTCAACCACAGACAATTTGATATTGACTTAAAGTTTGCATTAAAGTTATCCCATTTTGAACTGTAAACATAACGTCAAGTGACGTTTTAAAGACGCATTATTTAATTTCTAACGTCAATAATGCGTCATTAATACGTCATTTGATGTTATCCTACTCATGAAACTAACAAGAAGAAAAGTAGTCTAGCGCCGATTTTGAGACTTGAGATGTCTTCTCGGGATTTATGCATTTCAATTAAGCGGAATTTTCATAGTAAAAAAATTCTATTATGATCTTATTTACTTTATCACTGGAAAAAGTCGGAATGACGCCGAAACATGTCGGCAACTCTTGCAGGAATTTGGTGCTCCATTCTTTATTACATTTTATTTTCACGACTGAGCAAGTTTCGCAAATAAGATCTTGCGTTGACTCTTATTGGCTTTATCTTCTAGCTAATTATCAAAGAGCCTTTTTCTCCTATCATAAATGTCGTAATAAAACGTAAACTGTCATGTATGTTTACAGTTCAAAATGGGATAACTTTAATGCAAACTCTAAGTCAATGTCAAATTGTCTGTGATCGCGTTTATAGATCTCTATAATACCTTCAATTTCATTACAATTTTTTTTATTGTTTTCAAAATGTGGTCAATACATCTTTAAGTAACTAATTGAAAATTGTTACTAATGAAAGATAACATTGAATGTTTGATAGCGATTAGGTAATTAAATCTTGTTCTATAGCCTTTCTTTCTATTTTATTTGTTCTCAACTTGTCACCCTGGAAATATAGTATCGCGCTTTCTTATCACATTTTATCGTGTCGACTTAAAAAGCTGTACACCGATTATTATTTACCCAATGGTGGCTCATGAGAGTCGTGCTGGCCGTGTCGAAGATATCCTGATTTGGTTGGCCGGCGCAGGTCACTAGCACGTCAATGCCGCCGACTTCGTCCTCGACTTTCTTGGCGATCTTGCGGACGGAGTTGCAGTCCAACAAGTCGCACTCGTACGCCACTATCGTCGGCTCTGCTTCCCGCAACTCGCACTCTCTGTGCTCGGACCTGATTTCCTCCACTCGGCAGTATCGCGATCTTAGCTTCGCGGTTATTTCCTCGAGCGATTGGAGGTCATTATCCACGCAGATCACGGAACATCCGCCCTTCGCGAATTCCTCGGCGAGAAACTCGCCGAGAGTCGAGGAAGCGCCGGCTATCTGCGGCACGAGGGCTGTTAAGGAAGTGTCTCTCGTTTCTCTTTGTTCGCGAAATCCAAACCTTGAACCGTGACTTTAATGTTTACTCGTTGAGACTCGAATCTGACTCGTGACGTGTATATATTCTTATCGAAATATCATATTCTTGTCGAAATATTGAAAACGATAAGTCAGACGACGAATATGAATATTCAGATTAATATAAACTTCTATAGAGAATATTTTGATTTATTAGAGAGGCAAACCGATAAACCGATAAACACACTTGGAAACTTTGTACCTGATATCCGTTATTTTTTATTTATGCGATTAGCAATAAATACCTCTCTCCGCCCTCGATATTCGAGCAATAAATACAGTCTCAACGAGTTAAACATAGGTTCAGATGTCTATGTGGAATTCGCGAAAATTTTAAACTGGGTATTTGCTATCTCTTGCACGTTACGGAAAATAAGCCCCTTTAATTCTTTGTTTTTACTTAATGATCGCGTTTGTGTGCTCTACGCACGTTTCGAAGTGCATATCAAATTTCAAGGCTTAAAAATATATAAGGACATGTGTTTGTTAATTAAAATTCAACGCGAACTAAAGATATGTGAATATAGTACACTTACTAAAACTACATCGCCGGTCAGGTCCCTCGGCGGTTTTGGTAAAAATGATTTTATTACACTGAGAACAGCTAAGATAGTAGATATGACAGTTCCAATTAAAAATTCGACACTGAGGAAAAACCAGAGATTGGTCGAGGGAGCCATACTCGAGGTAGCGATCGTTGTTTCTTTTGTAATCGGTAACAACATCCGCTGTAAATTAAAATGGACTAATTATGCCTCTGTGATGCATAAAAATTCAATAAGAAATGCTTAAATATAAATGTGATACAAAGATAATCGACACGATTATTTATCACTCTATCATTCTGAAATGTTGACAAATTCATATTTTTAATGATAAATTGCTGCTTTTACCAATTTTATTTATATTTTTTTATGATAATAGCAATGTTTAAGTTTCCTTTAATAATTTTTCCTGACAATTTTTTCTGTAATGTTGTTCAGATATTCTTCGTGTAATCAGAGTGTTGCATTATCATATCGATCAGTATGATGAGTTGCTTGCTCGCTTCGTCGGCAAATGCGCGTACCCGAACAGACTTAGCTCGCATTTGACGATATACTCGTTTGCAAAACAGATTACACTTATTTTTGCTATTAAAAAAATATTGCAAATCGTTTTATCTGTCATATTGATCTATATTTTGACGCAATTCTTTTTACACTTGTGATTTCCTCGAAATGTGGATGTTAATTTGCATTGCTAATTTGTATCGCTATGAAAGGCGTGCACACACACACACACATACACACACGAAAGGAAATGGAATCCGGCTGTTTGCACTTTTGGGTTAAAGGTCGATCTAATAAAGGAGCGCCGGCATGATTGCAAAATGTCGTAAAGTTAAGAAAGATGCACTTCTTTGATATGACGTAACATTAAAAGTATTACGATTTTCAATTAAAAACAATATTGTCATTCATATCTTTAATGGAACATATCATCAACTATTTTCCTGTAATAGAAAAGAATAATGTGGTATCGAATTTTCGACGATTTTTGTCATTTAGTGGCAAAAGTCGAAACTGTTGAAACACCGGCGAACAAAACAGATAACCAGGTGTTGCTGCAAAGCAACAGTGCTAAATATTAAGTAGTTCTCACGTACATATAGTTCTCATGAAATATCGATATTGCTCAAGAATAACATATCAATATCATATTAACTTCGATGAAAGTTTGTTTTCTTAGCCATCTCTTTTCTCAGGTAGCAATCTTAGTTAGAACATAAAATATATACATAATGGCCTATAAGCTTTGTAATGTACAGCCCGGTCGTAGCCAAGCAAGCAAATTATTTCTCGAGATACGCACAGTGCAGCAGCAGAGTAGCGCGATCGCGGGGCCAATCGATTTAGCATAAGCGAAACTTTCTCGTTCAATCAACTAATCGTGGTGCCGCCGAGTCCCTTTCAACATTTATGCACGCCAAACCTGAGAAAATCTTGAATGTCGCAATAGGCCGCGGTTGAACAAGTTGTAAAGTTGCGTTCCGTTTTCTTTTTTCTCTCTGTTTGAATAACGATCGGCTGGCGAAAAGCCCCGGTCGGTCGTAATCGACATCGTCGAAGAGAACAAATAATAACATTGGTTACGTAAACTTTACAACCGATTGTCACAGACCAGACCCTCACGATCGTCGTCTCCCCTCGTGCAGTTTGCAAACCGCGCAACGTTGTTTCCTGTGTGTCGCGCCGAATCTGTCAGTTATATCACGGCAATCGCCGTGAAAAATCTTCGTGAAAAAAACCAACTCTAACAACTATCTCTTTTATCGATCCGATTAATCCGGTAGTAACAAGAGTTACATTCGCGGAGAACTTTTCGTGCGGGAAAGCAGGGGAGAAAACTCGTTCGAGAGTGCGGTTCAATGCGCCTCATTTTTTTATATCGATGTTATATAATAACGCGTGCGTGATCGGTCGAGGTGAAGCTGAGTGTGCGGTAAGCGTGATGGATCGTCTACAAGACGTGGAGTGAACTTAGTCAGTGAAGTAGGAGAACGAGTAAGAAATAAAACTAATTTATTTCACTTATATATACGTTTAAACTCTAGTTCGGTCACGCTGGAAGTATTTATTTAGGAGAAAGATTTTCTGCGTATGAGGGAGTTGAAGTATAGGCGTAAGCGAAATAAATTATTTTTGTTTCTCACTCCTACTCTCTTACTCCTTACGCCAAGCTTCTTACTCCTGAAGCTTCAATAAGTACAGTTGTTTCGCCTCTGGCTAAAGTCTCCGCATTTGTTCTTTTTTCTTTCTCGCGTTCGAAAGAAGTTCGTTCATGTGAGAAAAAGGAAAGAAAAAACCGCCTCATAACCGATAATCCGTGGCGGAAGATGACAGAGTAGTAATCGCGCGAGATTTATTGGCATTTACAAACAACGAGCGTGCCAGTTTTCGTCACGTTAAGACACTCGTTTTCGCCATTACTTCGCACTGTTATTTTCTGCCGCGAGTAGAGGAAGTATACTGAGAACACAATCTACGGTTCGCAACGCCAAAGTGCGACTTTGGCGAACGTAATAAAGTATAACAATGGAGAGGCAAGTTTTCTGTCAAATGAATACTTCCGGTGTGAGCGAGCTAGAGTTTAGATATATATATATACATAAGTGAAATGAATTTGTTTTATTTCTTACTCGTGCTCCTACTTCATACGCTAAGCTTACTTCACGTGTTGTAGAGGATCCACCGCACTTACCGCACATTCAATTTTACCTCGATCGATCATGCTATTGTGCACGTGTTTATTGTAAATGAAATATCAATGCAAAACTGCGCACGTGATATACGCGGCGAGAAAGCTATTTTTCGCGATCTCGCAATACGCGAACTCTTCGAGCGCAACACTTTCCATAGGTAAAAACTAGCTTTGTTTAACCGACTAACATTTCCACAATCTGATCGCGGATTGTGCGTGCATGTGTCTGCGCGTATGCTCGTGATGTAATAATCGATTGCATTACCTGAGAGTAGTTCGGAAAAAGTTACTATAAATAAAATTGTAGGCTGGAAATAAAATTCTCATAGCTAGAGAAATTCGAATCCCTTTGCAGTAATCACTCTTTAAAGTACAATCAATGTATTCTGGCTCAGTATAGCGTGCAATCAGTAAAATCTTGCTGAAGAAATCAGTTAACAGTTGCATTAATCGCATTATAGCTGCTTGTGCGAGCACAGAATGCTATTGCACGCAAGACGCATAGAAGCTGTTAATTGCATCGTTACAAACGCAGAAAGTTGGATTTGGTATAACGTACAATGAATTTGTGCATTATAGATTTTGCAGTGAAATCTTACTTTCACTAGACAAAATCAGCGAGAGAAAAAGTGGCAGTTTTGCGTGAAAAATTTCTTGGAATTTAATTGGGACTCAACTCGAATTCCTAAAATAATTATGGTCATAAAAAAACATGCGATTTTAAGTGGAAAAAGCCAAAATTTTTCGAATGTTTTTTCTGGTCTTCATTTTACATTAAGATGGAATAATACATGTTGACTTTCCATATTTTATTATTCAGAAAAATATTCAAAGCATCTTAGAAATATTTGATTTTTTTTTATTCTATTGAATACGATAGTTGCTATAAAAATAGGATTCTCCCTTTGATATCTTAAAAATAACCGATATTATCGACTGAAAAAAGCGCGAGATTCTATAGTATTTTTGTTTCAATTCTAAACAAGGAATCCATATTTCAGGCAAGATTGGAATAACTAATTTTAGAACAAATTTGTGTAATCCAGTCGAAATCTACACTGCGTCTGGGAAAATATTGGAAAATTTTTATGCGTAGTTCCAGTGAAAATCTAATAAAAACTCACTGATTATCGGTAAAATACTCATTTACTGATTTAATCAGGGACATTTCTATTGATACACTTCAAAAGAGCAAATGACAAGGTATCATTAAAATAGTTGGTGCTAAATAAGTCGGGTTATTATTCGTAGTGATTAATATGTCACTTTACTAGCAATAACGACGATCAAACATTTAAGTCACGATCAGTTTCCTTTGAGCACTAACGAGTATTGTAATTGGCGTTACTAAGTTCCGGCAAAAAATCGAGACGTAAGCGCACAGAGAGAAACTTAATTCCTGGATCTATTAACGGCGATGTTATCGTTTTGTTGATTGAGACGGAAGAAACTCGATATTTTGCGTCTAGCATAGCGATTGACAATCTTGTAGTTCTGTCAAATGCAATTATGCAGGTCAGAACCATGTTAAAGTGCGTTAGAGGTCTGCTCGTTTTCGCTGCACTAGTGTACACTTACGAAACTTAAAAACGGACAGATATGCAGTTGAAACTTGGTGGAAAGTAAAATAAATTTTAGTTATTGCCAATGTATAATAGTTCACAAATAGTCTTTCTTGATTTAATGGTAAGACACGAATATCGATAAACGTAAGTCGTACTGTATCATGTTGTTTTTTTACCTTATACTTGTTTAGAGATTGTAAAAAAAACGGAGTTAAAAATACGTCGTTATATTAGACACATACAGGGTGTCCCACCTAACCAAGCCACCTAAATATCTCCATCAATTGTAACGATACAAAAAATATTTTATACATAAATTGAATGGTATGAAGAGACCAATGTGTTGTAAAAAAGATTATTTTTTCAGTCTTTTTTTTTGAAGTTTTCAAGGTCATCGATGTTTTTTTGCATATAAATGTATATTTTTTTTATTGCATCGTGTAGCTGATGTTAAAATATGTCCAGATATGTATAACATTACCTTCGAATTAACCTTTGACTCCGAAAATTAAAATGAAAGCCTTAAAACTTGATCATTTCCAATTAATTTATCAGTTTATCGATCTATCGTTCGCGATGAATTACTCAAAGCAAAAGAAAATTGAAGGAGATATTTAGGTGGCTTGGTTTAGGTGGGACACCCTGTATACATCGAATGCACTTATCAAAAACGTTAATTTATATTTAATAAAACCTCAATGAATAATTTAAAGAATAAAAGAAATTGATATGAAAGACACTTTCCAAACGTATCAATAACTACTATCATGTAGATCATGGATAACGCGAAATATATATTTTTTCTTTTAATAGAGATTTTATCGATTGTGAGTTATGGAAGCCGATAAAAAATGCACGATAGATCTCGAGCATTTATTCATCGCAGAACGCGCAAAAAAATTCCACGTAATGAAGTAGAAAATTATGTATTCCTAGAAACCAGTTTAATTACACCATTTTCTTTGAAGTAACGTTTCATTGTTTGCAAAAGTCACATGCGCGACATAAGAAAGATAACGTGGAGCAAAATTGCTCAATTTTATAAACTGGTATTTTTTCGTAACTGTTTCGCCGTTCTCAAAGGAGAGAAAGGAACTACGCGGGGTTCAAGAAATCTCACTGACAAATGAGAACAGAGAAGACATTTTGTCGTTAAAATACATACCTACCGTTAATCAGACCGAGACAGACTTACGTTACGCAACGGTGTCGTGACAAATCTACTGAGATATCCTCGGAACACACTTCACAGAAATTAATTAGGGAAATATGAGGAAATGAGACAATCGCGACATCCCGTACTTATTTTGACGGAAATCGTATTTTGGAAAACGTGGATTGAAACGAGAATTGATTTAATGTATGCAATGATAAAAATATAATATAGTGTTAATTTATAATATATATTTATATGTATTAATATATGTGATATATATAAGTTACACTGTATATATCACATATATGCAATATAATTGTAAAGAAATTTTTTCACTTCGTTATTGTTCGCAAAATGAACCCACGTGTGACGCGGCGTCGCGTAGAACGGTCGAAATGGTTCGGAAGAAATGCACATGGAGCGAGAAACGTTACCGTGGAGAACGCGTAGATCACTGAATCGTGTTGTATCAGTCGGTTCCTTGACAGTTCCACGGGCGGTAAGAGCACGCGTGGGAGCAACAATCCACGGGGATCGCGGATACGCGGCGACGATCAGAACGCTGGAATCGCTTGAACTTGACTGAACGCCACACTGTAGAAACCTGCTGGCAACAGCCAGGTATCCGCAGACAAGGCCGCCGTCTTCTTTACTGTCTCGTTATCTTCCTCTCCTTTTACGCTGTAAAAGTCCGTGCAAATCTGCACGGACGACTTTTTATTCTAGTTCTGCTGACTGTAATATCAAAACATAGAAAAAAAGAAAACATGCAGTTTTTCGAAAAAATTCAAGGAAAAAGAACATGCGACAGCTCGATGATTATTGATTTGCACGAATAAGTGAGCCGCGCGACTTCGCGTCTCAAAATGACGTAATTTCGAAACGCTACACCGATCGTTTTAACCGCATTTTGAATTCAAGTGCAATTTTCTAAGCGTCTCGACATCCGACTCATAGGAATGATGGATAAATTACACGTATAAAATTGTTTATCCGTTTTAGTTCGCATTTGTTACTGAAGGACATTCTAATTTTTGCGTATTTGTTACTGAAGGATATTCTAATTGTAGAATATTAGCTTGTAATGTCCCTTTCACGATTGTGAATCTAGATGAATATTGATATACGAATTCGTAATGCTCTTCGCACATTTCTACATTTCTAAATTGTGGAATCTGATTTATTGTGTACTCATAATTAATTTATCACCGTATTAATTTAAGTCACTCATAATTAATTTATCACCGTTATTTGCGTTGCTAATTTTATTTTAAAATATAAAATAACTTTGGAATAGTCAAACTAGCATCGCGGTAATATCAAATGCGTTTTCCTAAATGGTCTTAAGTTTCAACGAAGCGTTTTATCGCTGTTTAGTACTTAATGATGAATATCAAACAGACATGTATTATTGAATCAGTAAATATGAGAAACATTTCAGATAAATAGTTCTTTCTTCGCAGAACATCGTGTAAAAATGGATCTTGCAGTGCTGCATTGCGAGAAGTATTCTTTCTAAATTCTTTTCATCTAAAAATGTCATAATTCTAATAATTGATTTGTGACTGTGTTAGAGCAATACTTTTGTTGAGTCGCTGATACTTTTGTTGTTATGTCTTATGATATTATAATAGTAACAAAATTATTTTATCGTAGCTGATAGCTTTAGAACATTACATCTTTCGGTAGAGTTTCAAAGTCCGATGTCGAACGATGACGTCGAGTATTCGCTGCACATCACCCAGTGTTCGCTTTCAAGAAGAAAATGAAAGCATAAAAAGCAACTTGCTCAGCCGCGCAATCCTTTGAGCCGGTTTCCACTACCAAGCAAAGTCAAGGTCACCCTCTTGACTTTGCTTGGTCGCGCACACCATGACGAAAATAGCATCCGCTGCATCCACTGTTGCTCGCCAAATCTCGACTTGCAAAGGAGTAAGTAATTATTTTACGAAGTAGATGAATTTTTAATTGTGAAATTTATGGTAGATTATAAATTGCAGACATACTCTCTTAAAGTGAATCAGCGAATAGTCACTGACATCAGTTATAATTATAGCACTAAGCCATTTCAGTGCTATACTTATAACTGCAAATCAGTGTATATTCACTGCTTTCAATAATGTTTCACTGATTTACTTTAAGAGAGTAGTGTTTGCGCTGAGAGTAGACGGAATGTGCTAAAATCTCAGACCGGTGACGCGTCACAAACTGATGAAATTTTAAATATTAAAATGCAAAATTAAGACTGAGTGACATATCGGATTATAATCAAAATAATAAGTCGTCTTACTTCGATCGTTATTCTGCAATATTGAATTTCGCTGAACTCTCATGTCCACGTGATATACATCGCTAGAAATAAATTTGTCAAACTTGGCGCACTTATTTCTTTCTCCGCAATGAAAACGACTCGCGTAGTATTTCTATTTCTATTTTAGCAGTCTTATGCTGCACGGTGATTTCATTTAAAACAAAGGCATACATGCGTTTCCCACGCATTATTCTTATGTTCCATTACATGTATTATTCTTATGTTCCATTCTAAAAAGTTTTATGTCAATTATAAATTCCACTTCTTTTATCTTTGCGTAAAAATCTACAAATCAATCTCACCTTTCTTAAGGAAATTCCCCCAGCTAAAAAATGCAAATATTGATGTAGGAATATTTATTATAATGCAAATAAATTGCCATTTATATTTATAATTTATTTATGTAACATCTCATAAAATCACATCGAATTCTCAATTATTTACATACATCTACGTGTAAAATTCTCGTCGCGTATAATTCCTTTCACCGAGTCAGTAAAAACTGTATTACAGATTCATTATACTTTTTTCCCCGTGTTTTCGACCGACGTCCGCCAAGAAGTCCAGTATCAGATGCATTGCGTTTTCCGGGATGATTCTATAAGCAATAAGTAAAATCACGACTTTTGACATTATAATCGTGTAACGTAACTTTCCCATAGTGTGAGAACATCCCAGCGGATTACTTCGCTGAGCCACGGCGTAGTCTATTGTTAAACGATTACGAAGGATAATGTCGCGAGGCACGATACACGACTTTCGACACGTGGCGCACGTGTTACGTGTATTACCTGTTGATCGCGTTTAAGGAAAGGAGGCATCGCGGTATCGTGTGCTCCGTATAATTTCTCCGTATCGCCTTGATCACTTCCCGGGCGGCGTACTCGGGCGTCACCGCACCGAAAATACAAGGAAATCTGCAATCATGGTTCTTTTTCGCGACGACGATTCTCGAATTTACGCTCGAGGTGATCCGATCGATCCGAGGTGGGCAAACCACCATCATTATTCGCGGCAGTTTCCCGTTGCGTTGATGCACGATCGCGCTTTATTAATGATTGTTACCATTGACGTTGATTGCAGCCATTAAATCAACTTGAGCGTAAATTCGAGAATTATCGTAAATTCGAGAATTATCGTCTAACTAACGCTCCGTCGTGTCGCATAATTTTTGCCTGCACGGAGAGAAGTTTATAGTAAACATTATCATAGAATTCTGTAATCAAGAAGCATATCATTCTCTGCCTTCATTTATTATCTCTACGTTTTATTTATACTACTTGTATCTTGGAAATAGAGAAATCTGTGTTTAAGAAATCATTAATTTGTTAATTTTTATAAATTTTTATTAATTTACAAATAACATTTATTATATGTTCTTTAGCATGATAAACTCTAATCTTTAGTCTTTCTCTATGAAACAGTATCAAATTGAAAAAAAAACTTATATAAAAACAAGCTAAGAAATTGAAGGATTTATATGAAATAATTATTTAAGAAAATTTTTATGTGAAAAGAAAACATATAAGATGTTCTCTTCGTGTCTATTTCAAACTATTACAAAGTATGTGATATAAAATTACAAAAAATTTATATCTGAAAGAGCTAATATTTATAACAAAATTTAAGAATTTATAGAATTTAAGAATTTATAGGAAATAATTACTTAAGAATTCGTATGAAAAGAGAACATGATACTCTCTGTGTGAACACGCGAATGAGGGATAAGATGGATGTAACGAAACGCCGTCGTGAAAGACATTAAGGCTCCTGGGGAGTCGCATCATCCATATTTTTTTAATGACGTCAGAAGCAAGAAAACGGATGCTAAAAATTCCTGCAAAGTATGTCGAGACAAACAGATGTATCCACAAAACGACATTTGCGATCGATTAGGTACACCTCTAAAATACTCCGTACATTTTTCTTTTGTTCTAACAATCAACGGATAATTATAAAATAAATGTGACGTGCAACCGTCTTTTCTAACCTAATTTCCTTATTATCTTGTCATATTAATTTTCCAATTATCTATTGATTTTTAGAACAAAACGAAAGTATACGGAGTATTTTAGAGGTGTATTTAATCGATCGCAAATATCGTTTTGTAAATATATCTGTTTATCTCGACGCATTTTGCAAGAATTTTTAGCATGCGTTTTCTCGCTTCTGACGTCATTAAAAAGAGATGGATGATGCGACTCCCCAGGAGTCTTAAACTCCCCAGGAGCCTTAAACGGGAGAGAACTTTGAAAATGTGAAACTACTGACATTAATTGAAATTGACGATTTCTAATGTACGGAAATGAGAAATTGTCAGCTACGATTAAATCGTCAAGTGGATATACAGTTTTGATTTCTAATTACTTTTATCTCACGATCCACACCGTCCAACTTGTCATTGCGTGTCAAATAATTGCACTCGATTGCATTTGCGTCATATTAAATTTCGTAAGAGTTACGTTCGGCTTACAAGCACGATGTTCGCGTGCAAATTACCACGCTTAAAGTATCCACGCCGGAAAGTATCAGCACGAACATGGTAGTTGCGATACACGCTCGTTAGAAGATACAGTAATTAGTCACACGACCAACATAATTACCGAGTGCAATAACCGCGATTATGGTCAAACTCACGCATTCATCGCCGTAACTTCTTATAAAACGCAGCATTTATCATCACTTGAATGCAGAAAATATTAGAACAAACGGCTTAAAATCTCGGGAATGTACTTATTAAGAAGAGGAGAAAATACTACGTCAGCGTAACTTCGAAGAACTAATTCTTTCGCTATAAAATAGCCTTTTCTAATATAACGCAAGTTTGTATCTTTTTTTAATTTATTTAATAAATTTCACCTGTATTTAGGATCCTTTGCTAATCCCGTGTCGATATAAAATGGATAAATTGTCGTAAAATGAATGTTGGTTTTTTTCTCGTTGAAACGAATTTCGTCCTGAAGAGCCTCCATGAGACCTCGAGAGAAAGTTGAATGTTTCATGAAAAATACATATCGCGAACAAATCGTAGTGTACCGATGAAAAGTACCTCTCACGGCGAACTTGGACGAACAGTACGCCACTTTCTGCGACACACCGTAAATGCCGCACATGCTACTCATTGCCACTATGTGTCCGCTTCCTCTTTGTAACATCATAGGCAGGAATGCTTCTATTGTCTATTTAAATCCAAAACATCGTAAAACCTGCTTCTCCTTTGCTCTATGAATTTTTCATACTTATGAATATTCATATTTGTGAACATATTTTACATTTATGATTTGTTTATAGATATATAATCTATAAAATTTATGGACTCTATGAACTGTTTTCTTTTTGAACGCATACCCAGAAATTTGAGAACACGTTGACATTGAATGTCTTCTCAACGTCGTCCATGTCGCAATTTAAAAATGGCTTATGATACAACACGGCCGCGTTATTGATGAGTATCGTCACATCCGGCAGGTCGAGTTTTCTCATCAATCTCACTGTCTCTCGTATTTCCAATCTTTTTGAGACGTCGACCACAAAGCCGTAAACCTAAGAACACAGTTATGTCATGCCTTTCTCTCTGTAATAGCACTCGTGACCGTTCCTCTCTCACAAAGAAATGACCTTTCTTTGTAAAAACTGGGATTAGTTTTAATATTAAATCAACTACTAACACATACATGATACATTATTAAATATTTATATAATATAAATCAGTAAGTTCTCTTGGAAAATTTATTGAGTCGCGCTATAAATAAGTTATCTCGTTTTCTTAAATTTATTATTATGTGTGTGTGAGATATTTTTCACAAGTACCTAAATATATATTCATCATTATTAAGAATTAGAGTTCGCGCCGACTAACAAGTAAAACTACCCAAAGGTTACACTTCGATTTCTTTCTAATTTGGCCAGAAATACAAAAAAATATATTTAGGTCATATTTTTTCATTTTGGTCACTTTAAGTTTCGCGGGCAGTTTATAGCTTTTTAATGTTCTCACTCCTATCATCAAGTATAACAAAAATACCTCAGAAATAAAATTGAATACAAGATATAGGTGTTTTTGGTTTGCTGATTATGAATTATGATTATGAATATGAGGTCAAGTGTGTACAATTATTTATATAAATAATAAAATGTTTAAACAAAACGTAAAAAATTGAAAAAAATTACTTATACAAATAATTTCTCGGTTTAGCCGAGATTCAAACCATTTTTAACTAATTTAGCATAGATTTAAAATATTTCGGTTGGAATCTCGGCTAAAGAAATTTAGAATGGTTCGTGTCTCAGCTATGCCGATTTTGTTAAAATTTTAATTAAAATTGTCGGATTTCTCTCTCTCAGTTTGGCCGAGATTCGAATCATTTTTTTACTAATTTAACATAGATTTAAAATATTTCGGTTGGAATCTCGGCTAAAGAAATTTAGAATGGTTCGTGTCTCAGCTATGCCGATTTTGTTAAAATTTTAATTAAAATTGTCGGATTTCTCTCTCTCAGTTTGGCCGAGATTCGAATCATTTTTTTACTAATTTAACATAGATTTAAAATATTTCGGTTGGAATCTCGGCTAAAGAAATTTAGAATGGTTCGTGTCTCAGCTATGCCGATTTTGTTAAAATTTTAATTAAAATTGTCGGATTTCTCTCTCTCAGTTTGGCCGAGATTCGAATCATTTTTTTACTAATTTAACATAGATTTAAAATATTTCGGTTGGAATCTCGGCTAAAGAAATTTAGAATGGTTCGTGTCTCAGCTATGCCGATTTTGTTAAAATTTTAATTAAAATTGTCGGATTTCTCTCTCTCAGTTTGGCCGAGATTCGAATCATTTTTTTACTAATTTAACATAGATTTAAAATATTTCGGTTGGAATCTCGGCTAAAGAAATTTAGAATGGTTCGTGTCTCAGCTATGCCGATTTTGTTAAAATTTTAATTAAAATTGTCGGATTTCTCTCTCTCAGTTTGGCCGAGATTCGAATCATTTTTTTACTAATTTAACATAGATTTAAAATATTTCGGTTGGAATCTCGGCTAAAGAAATTTAGAATGATTTGTATCTCATACCGATTTTGTTAAAATTATTTAACTATATCTTGTATTCAATTTTATTTCTTATGAATTTTTGTTGCATTTTTGTTTCACTGCCCGTGAAACTCAAAGTGGACTAAAATGAAAATATATGACCTAAATATTTTTTGCACTTCTATATTTGTGCCAAATTAAAAAGAAATCGGAGTGTATCTAACCTTTTAGTTAGATTTATTTGTAAGAAACGTCGATTCTTTTGAATATCTTTGGGAACGAAAATAAATGTCGTTCCATCATTATTAAGATTATTTGTTATAACTCGACTCAAATTAACACTTGTTTACTTCTCCGCCGTTTTTCGATACAGCTCTCATGGTTGATCGGTTGTTATCGACGTCGACGTCCCAACAAATAATTATGCAACCCATCAAGGATAACTGGATGGCTAACTCGCGGCCAACACCGTGACCAGCCCCGGTGATCTAATTTTGATGTTTGTTAAATAATTTACACTCGCGTATTCGTGTACGCGCAACAATTCGGAAGTTTCAAGCCATCGCGGCTCGTTTTCGCTCGCTTCGTTGAGAAGCAGAACTTACGAGAACGGTTTCTCCAAGCAAACGTTTCATGGAGCGCGGCACAATCGTTCTGAAAGTCGCGATTATCATCGCTAGGCTTATCTTCATCGACAAAAGAGGCAGCTCCAGAAACAGTCTCGACAATTTGATATCTCTGAAGATATGTCGAATATTTCTCATCTCTCGAAAGTACTAATACTTTGACTTGTCAAGTCCGACAATAAACGAGATCCGTTGTTAGGAGATAAGATAATCCTTGTTTTAGCTTCAACAGTTCGCCGTCTCAGCGAGTCTCTGAATACCTTTGCAGCCTATCCACAAACGTGACGCCCGTAATTTCGTGTAATCGCGCCCGCGATTCTCGCGTCATCAACTGTCCTGTGATTTTCACGTCGTCAATCTAAAATTTCACATATAAACCGCGCAATAAAAGACGGAAAGTTGTCCCTCGCGGAGCAATAAAGCGTGTCTTAATAGTGACAATCGTGATCTCTCGAGGCACTCTAGAAAGTACACGGAACATCAACGTCGCGCGCGAGTATGGAAACGCAGAAGCGGAGGGATTAAAGAAAAGGGGAGAAAAAATTAGCACGTAAATCTCGCATACGCACCGCGATTTAATGACGCAAGCCTCCGTCGACTGTAATGTGCGAGGATCACTTTTCTTTCCGCGGCGAAACTTTGTTAACGGCTTCGTTCGAGTTCTCTCTTGAGGAGCTGTCAAACGTGATTTCGTTGTCATTGACTCGACTGATGTCAGCCATGGTATTCATATGTTTACGATACCGATCCTATTCTTCTGCGCATTCATGTAAAGATGGGTATACACGAAACGCACGAAGAAAAAACGAACTTTCGCTGTTACGGTCCGGAAGATACTCACTTTCAGAACGATTTTAGCCACCAACAGGTTGTGCCGTAGATTCAAGATTACGTTTATGTGGATTGTTTACGCATTTTCTATGCGATGTATACTCTGTTATTTTTCATGATAATGTAATGTACTTTACACGTTCATATTACGCCAAGAACACGACCTCTATTCTAAGTTAGCGCGCTGCATTAGAACTTTATTCCTTTCCCTGCTTCAATGCTAGGTTATACATTTTTTTAACTCCCCTCTTTATAAAAGCAAAAACTTCAATCTAGTTCAGCTGAAAGGAATAGACTTTATTATAGATTCACGTTCACCTTGCTTATATTACATTTATTTTCGATATTTTAGAACTTAATAAATATCCAATGAGAGACTTTGGTTTTGAATAATTTCCAGAAAATAAATTCTCTCATCGGACATCAGTTGCGTTTCGAAAGTGTTCAAGCCAGGATTGAACGTTTACGAGTAAATTATGATATTCAGAAAAAAATACATAGTGGTAGTAACTTTCGTTACGTCTTTCTGATTCTTAAATTAGACAACCTTACACCAGATGTTTGTATAAGAAAAACGGAACTTAAAATAAAAAGGGCGTGCTTAAGGGAATGCTGGACATGAAAACTTTACCGACATAACATTGATTTTTTTTCTGCAAAGTTTACGTCTTGTTGCTTGCACAGAATTACAAACGCTTTTACACAACAAAAGTGCATGCAAAAATAAATTGGAACATTGCTCAATATGTGATAAAAATGAAAAAAATGTTTAAATTTAAATTTTGAGCTGTCAGTTAGTGCAATATTTGTTTAATGCAAATATTCTGCAGGTTGTACATATCGAAACTGTGGATGCTCCAATCAGGAAAATTTCAAAGATCACTACTACACTCTCAGAATTTAGTTTCGATGCAAAAAAGGATACGAAAAGTTTGCAAGAAATTTATGATTATATACGTTTAAATTTTCCGACAACTATGATAAAGTAAAGCGAAAAATTCGCTAGACGAATAGACGAAAAAATCGTAAAGAAATCGTCGTAACGGCACGCCCGAGTTGCTTTCCTACGCGTAATAGCAGTAATTAAATGATAACCGAATAAATTGAGTAAGAATCGAATAAAGAAGTAATAATACTCGAATATTAAATGATAGTGTTAATAATATCTGCTCGACAATCGTGTGATAATGTCCGCGAGTGGATAACGAAATAATGCTGATCGAATAATCGATAATAACAATACCTATGTAACAGCTCTAACAAAAACTTTAGGCTGAACAAAGTCTAGATAAACAAGCCATCGTAACGGTCTCGCTAGGGCGAGACTCAACGGCGCTTCGGGGGGCGCGCTGTCGGATCATGTAAACACGCGTGCTTGAACACATGCTCAAGCGTCACACCATAACACTATCAACCGTCGAGACGAGTACATCAGGAGCTGCCGCGTTATTTTCTAAATTATTCCGCGCCGATTTTTAATACCGCGTTTTGACTCCGTGACAATTAAGACGATAATTAAGACACATCAAGACGCGTATTTATCACGCGAGCAGGTGTTGCGGGCTTTAACGCGGCGGGTAACTACCGCATTTCATTTACCTTTTTACGCGTTTCATTTACTTGTTAGAAAGAGAAACGTCGCGATTCAGTTCCTCAATGTTGATCAGATATTATCATCATCATCCATTATTTAATTGGGTATTATTACTTCTTCATTCGGTTCATTTATTTATTTTTATTACGCATTGGAAAGGAACTCGAGTCGTTACGACAATTTCTCTTCCTCATCTTGCTGTCGCATGTAACTACTTGATAGTAAATTACTAAATTATTAATTAATACTAAATTAAATTTACTTTCTGTTGCAGAGACGAAGCAAGCGACCAGCCGACTTTAAGGGGCTGCTGCGCCGGAGGATCCGGCTCGAGCCGAGCGGGGTCTACTCGAAGGTGAGCATCACTAATTATCATTTATAATTAGAAATCCGACAAGACTGCTAATTTTGTTGCTCAAAATTGAGATAATTTGAATTGAGTCAAAAATCGCGTTAAATTGTAATTACACGCGGGGAGAATTTTTCTAGGTAACATCGCCACTTGAAAAATGTTGATTTTAAGACTAAAAGATTTATTTGCAACGTCGAGAAAAAAGAAAGTGGAATATTTTAGTGTGAACGTATTCCGAAAAATTTTCCCAACGTGAAAAATATCGCGCTTATTTTTTTTTAATCTTTCAAACTTCTTCACTCAAATCGACATCAATGCACGAATCTAATCGGCGAAATGGCATTTTTCTGTTTCAGAAACAAAAGCAGAACGTGACTGTCCTGATCAGCAATTCGGTGAGTTAAAACAAGAAACATATTGATAATAGAAAGACAAAAAGTCTTTCGATGTAGTGCATGTTCATGAATCAATGCGATTTACTTTGCTGTAATTGTAGTATGCGTATGTGCCGTCCAATAAAAAGCACCTTGCTCGAAACATTTGAAAGATTGTTTTTTTAAAGAATAATTTAATAATGCATATTCTACATAAATTTGACAAATAAATTTTCAAGTAGTTTTCTCTCAATGTATATATATTTATTAATTGATTAACTTACATTATTGATTGGTCGACGATTTTTGTCGGAAAAAATTTTGATTAATCAAATCCCAACACTATCTGATAGATACTTAAAGTATTGAGTATACGCTCTAAATATTCAAAATTTTGTAAAATTATTCAGTTTTATTAAATGCGATCTTTCTGGTGTCTCGAGCAATGCACCAACACGCAAAGAAATTGCGTCACAGAAAATGCGCAATTACATCACCCGCGTCATAGATCTTCCGCCGGTCGTTAATTTTCTCAATTTTCTTTCTCACGTGAGTTTGAATCGCGATTGTACTTCATAAAATAGATATTCGTGCTTCATATTCGTGCTTCATTATTAAGTAATATTCGATATCGTGCGGCACTTGCGCGAAGCGATTTAACGTAATTATATAAATTGCTTACAAAATTAATTTCACGATGGTCGGAAAATTTTCAGGTTTTAATTTTTCACTTAGAGTTAGTTTCCTAACGCGGGACACAATAGAAACAATGCCAACGAGCGTTGATCCCTCACGAAAAACGCAATGTATTAATACACAAGTCAGACATGCGAGCAGTTTGTTTACTTACGCGGCACACGATAAGTTCCATCAAACGAAGACAGACGTCTCACGCGGTAACATTTTTTCGCGTGAATTTTGAATAGAATATTTATCTCTACCGTCACAATTTTCATAGTTTTTGATTTTTTATTCACGCTCGCGTTCGCAGTTATTAATTTGATAGATTTGTACCGAATTTTATCGGATCGTATATACGGAAGAGTCGCGAGCGAACTTCGCAGAAATATTGCGGAGTTGTTATTCGCAAAAGCATTGCGGAATTGTCTTCGCAAAAATATTGCGGAATTGTTATATGCAAAAACATTGCGGAATTGTCTCCGCAAAAGTATTGCGGAGCTGTATCGCAGCCTACTACACTGCACCATCGAAACGTTATATTAGAGATATTTCGTGTCGTGCATGAGAATTTCGCACAGATTACTTCACCCACGCGTCGAAAAATTTCGCGAGATCGGCCTTCGATTCGCGTCGCGTGTTCCCTTCGCTCGCGAATTCCGTTTTCTTCGTAAGCGATTCGCGTCGTGTGTGTATCAAAGTGATACTACAACTCGTTGCTGAATTCGTCGCATATACTCGTCATTTTTCCGAAAGACCGATATTTCCTCGAAGACGCAGTTCGCGATATTTCATACGCAATTCGCAACTCGGAGTTTATCCCCCAAAAGAGACGGGATTTTTCGTGAAACCTCCGTTAGATTACCGCGATCGGGAGTGAATTACAGGCGACGTAGGACCATTGCAATATCAGATGAAGCGACAGGATGGCTGGTGGACCCTGGACACCGTGGGACGACGCACAATGGTAAGCGCTCAATTTAGACGCTGATATAGTAGACACAAAGCGTCACTTTACGTAGATTGCATGCATGTAGATGTAAATCGCATTGGGTCCGATGGGAAATAAAGTAAGAATTGGAATTTGCAATTCGCCGAAGTTACGTAAGAATGATCCAACTAAAAAATTTAGCTCTGAGATTTCCGCAATAGTTCAACGAGTCAAGCATTTTCATTTCTTTATTTATTTTAAGAGCATTTTCATTTCTTTATTTATTTTAAGAGTACTGACTAGTTCAATCTTTAAAAAAAGACGCAACTGGTAAAAAATAAAAAAACTGTTTCTTAATCCATTTCAAGCATCTGTAAGACATGAATTTTTTTTGTTTGGATTAAAAAGATGTGAATGGAGTATCCACTGATAAAAGCTTATAATTTTTTTAATTGGATTATTCTTACATAACAATGGCCAATTGAAATTTCGACTCGGCAGGCTTCCTTCTCGTCGGATTATTTCTTGATGATACATTAAACTAATATATTTCAACATGTTATATTTATGTGCTCTGTATATGTTATATATGATTCTTTTATGCTCTATATATGTTTTATATATACTCTATATATGTTCTATATACATATATTATTCGATCAATATACTTTATGACTTGTTATGTCGTATTATATACGACATACTATCTCTTCAGAGATATTTTCTTACGCATACGCGTTTGTTTTTGACAAGACGACAAATTAAATTTCGACAAATTAGAGACAACAAATTAAATTATTAAGCCAAGACTCGAATCGAAATGTTAAAGTTTCTTAAAGAAATTTTCGCGTTTGCAAAGGGATATTTTCGAAAATGACGTGAAGTGTGCGTATTTCGCTCTGCATCATCTCTTGGATGACAATGCGCCTTAATGTCACTCTACTCTTTCAGTAACACGCCCAGAATCTTGAAAATAATTTTCCAATAGCCCAAAATCGCGTTCATAACGTTAGATTCAACTTTGTAGAAATGTCGGATTCTCGCGCATTGGCCGAAAGTTGGTCATGTTACTGCAGGTTAGTTAGGTCATATAGGCCGGTATTCATAGTCGAATCTTATTTCAAGACCGTCTTAAGTAATGTCTTAAGATGCGAATATGGCCCTGTGATTGATTCATGACATCTTAAGACATCTTAAGACTGAAGATGATCTTAAATTTTACTTTGTGTTGACTTGACCAAATTTAAAATGTTTTTGTATAGTAAAGGTACAGGCATAAATGAAATAAGGCATTCCTGCCTCAAGAATGAAAACGATGTGGAACTATTGCTATCGTGACACAATTTCATTTCTCAAAAATTATAGCGTACTGACTGCTCCAATTTATATGATAAAATTACGTGCGAAAATAAAGTATAACATTGGTCAGTGCGAAATGAAAATGATATCTCAAATTACCGTTACTAATTATATTGAAAACTCAAATAATAGGTAACGTATTTTTCAAAAAATTATGCTTGCGCCTACAACTTCTCTAAAAACTCTTTGATGCATTCAGTACACAAGCGGTTTGAAGAATTCATCAGAAAAGTAGCAAGAGCCTATTTTGAAGAGAATGCAAATTTCGGCAACGTGGCCAATATTCATATTTACGTAACGTCTACCTATGTGTGAGAAAATTGAAAGGACAACGTAGCACACACCCTTGCATAACGTCTGTGAAAAGATGATAGCGGTATCCTGTTAGCGCCTATTTGACGATCGTCTTTATTCCATAAGTATCTATGTGTACATAAATTCGATATCGTCGGTAAATGATGATAACGTTTTCTACTTTGGTGATCGCTCTACACTGAGGGAAAAATTACCTTAAAATCAACAAATATTTCTTTGATGGGCGCTATTAATATATTTATTTAAATCTAAATTCTCTTTATTTAAATTAAATATTGTTTACCTGATTTAAGTAAACAATATTTGATTTAAATAAAGAGAATTTAGATTTAAATAAGTATGTTAATGGCACTCATCAAAGAAATATTTGTTGATTTTAAGGTAATTTTTCCCTCAGGGTACGTTATCGACGCTTATCAAGTTCGTCGCTTGCTTCGGCGGCATCCCTTAACATTCTGAATACGCGTCAAAAATACAGCCCTGGACTTTCACTGTTCGTTCGTTGTTTTTTCGCTCGATGTACGCCCACCTTAAGTTCAAAATGAGCTCGTTTACTTTGTTTTTCGCTGTCGCGAGATGTCATGTTCCCGCAGCTTCGTCGCGAAACACGCTGCTACTTTGCCTCTCGTTTATCTCGCTTCCTCTTCGTGCTAAATAGACCGCGAAGTCGATCGCTACTCAGCCACTCAGCGCGATAAATAATATCTCGTTGGTAGAAGGAGGAGATGCATCGAGTGAGAAAGATCGTTGAGCACCCGAAATTCAAGAGATTCTGGACGAGATGGCGGATTCTTATGTGGAAAGCCGTGCTAATGCGGCTACACAGCCCGATAATTACCGCGCTGGAAATCATTATAGCCGTTATCTTTTCAGTGCAAATACGTTTGATGTTTGAGCCGAGCGTTCTTCGTTCGCAGGTAATCTAAGTGATAATTACAAAGTCATACAGATCGGATGTTTGTGCTCGTTCTTTCATTACGTAACTCTGCTGAGCGACTTTATTATTATCTTCAGTAAGATTTGCATTTCTGATATTTTTCTACCTCGAATTATTTTTCAAGGTATCTCTTCCAGGTATCTCGGCTTTTATCCTTTATTCTTCAACTACTACTAAAATTACACATAATTTCAACTCCACATAAAACCATCGTGTCTGACATTTCATTATTAAAATGCATACATGCATGTCAGTGCATAATATTTATCATACCTTTTTACGCTTTATTTAGTAATATTTGGCATATTAGCACGCAATATAATATATCAATGTGCCAATGTTCTAATATATCAGTGATAACATGCTATTTAATAGACGCGAAAATAAAATTACCTCGACAAATTATCGATAATTTTGGCAATTGTATGTATATACATTACGTTCTTTATATTTTGCACAAAGGATGTAGATTTATATAGTCAGGACGATATATTGGCGAAATTGCCGGCCGATGTGCAGTGCTGGTATTCGCCGAGAGACGCGTTTGTCGACGAGTTGATGTCGAAAGTCTCGCAAACGCTTGACACGAATAGTAAGATAACGCGTATTCTGAACCGCAAGAAAAAAAGAGAGGAGCAAACCGAAACATCGGTCATTTTTTACAGTTCAAGCAGCCGACAGTGAGATCAGTCTCGTGCATTTGCGTTACACGAGGAACGATACCTCCAAAGTATTATGGGCGATATTCGAAGTCGACAAGCACGCGTCGGGTAAGCCGGAAACTCTGAAATACAAGATACGCTCTTCGGAAATCGGTGAGAATCGAATGATTATGATGCACGAGGAAGAGCCCGCCTGTAAAGGTACTTCGAACGAGTCTTACGCAAAATAGCAGCTCGTGCGTGTACGATAATTTCAACTCCAAACTTAGCGATATCCCGCACATGTGTGCCTTCCTTGCTTTCTCATAAATTACTGCCGCTTGACTTTATTGTCTGTCTAGACTTTATTGTCGCTAGTGCGTGCAGAATAGATTCATTTAGTCTGACTTTGAAAACAGTATTAATAAAGAAATATGGTTGCGATGAATTATTCATGCTCACCTGCTTTTCACTGTCGAGATCCGTACCTGTCGAGCGGCTTCATGACTCTGCAACTCGCGATTGAAAGAACCTTCGTAGAGATGTGGACTGATCCGACGCTACCGAAGGTCGCCGATGACGTAAATGATCAGAAACCTCACGTTTATCTACTTAAGCACTTCTTATGATCATACACGGAGGAAATATTGTAGCATCAATTCTGTTGAAATTATACATCTTTCTGCAATGTTCTTTTTCGTAAAGCTGCACTATACTGAAATATTGGCATAAATAGAGATAGTAAATCTGACGATCTGGTATATTATATGAAAAAAGAAACATTCAAGTAATTGCAGTAATTTTTATAGTAAAAAAGTCAAAAACATATATAGTGTTTTGAAGCGAACATATAGCAATTTCTCTGTATGTATGGCTCGAGATTATGACAGTTTTTGTAATTTTTATTACAACATTTTCTCCTTGTATGAAACAATTATAATATTCACTTAATCACGCGGCTTGTGCGAGGTCGTATAGTCTAATATAGAAAATATTTTATTCTATTTTTCTTGATTAATAATACCTTTACTCACGCGTTTGAGATATTGCTGTTTCAAGGTAGAAGTGCTTTAAAAATCGCGGATATTAATTGAGGACAGTTGAATAAGAACGCGCTCCTTTGTAGCTGACTGTCGGCCGGTTTCCATTCTACAAGATAGACTTTTTGATCTTGCCGTCAGTCATTCGATCCAACATAAGCGTAATCTATTATATGATGGTGGCGGCTTTTCTCCTGCTGCCAACGGCTACGTTAAGAAAGTCCCTCCACGATAAAGAAACTGGATTCAGAGTAAGCGTACACGGTTCTCCTCGTCATCGGTATCATTATTCACCGGCGCGCAATCGCGATCGTGATACCTTTACTATTATTCCGCGTCACTTTGGAAAATTAAGTTCCCACTTCGAGAAAGCCACGCGATCTCCTCTTATCGCGACGCTCGTTAATACGTTGACTGCCGAGACGTCTCATAATTGGTATGCGAGAAGAATTTTCAAGAATATAAATAACTTGAATTGATATATAATCAAAATTAACCCGAAAATATGGGTAAAATTTAGACAGACCAACCTTCCAAAATTACGTTCTTAGAAACATATGCTTTATTTTCTCATTATAACTTTTTTAACTTTATTGAATCGCGTAAAAACATTAGTAGATTCATATTTCTCGATGTTTTCTACACCAATTAAAAAAAGTATTGAATTTTTACCATTTTTACGAAAATTTAGCAGATGAAAATGCGTTGAATAAAATTTATCCACATTATGGTTCTAAGGTTAAATTTGTGAAGAACCAATAAGAGCTTCTGTGCACGATTTTTTTTATCTTGAGAATGTGAGAATTCTCTGTTCCATATATTTACGAGTTACCTTAGATTTCTTGTGGAAATAAATTTTTTTTTATCATGAGTATGTATTGCTAAATAATAAATATAAATAATCGGCATATTGAAATAAAGTAAAAGTGGCCGAACACATGTCTAATCCTAGACATTCTTATTCTTTCGGTCTTTAAATACGAATATCTAAACTTTCAATATAAAAAAAAAAATATATATATATATATTTTTTTTTATATTGAAAGTTTAGATATTCGTATTTAAAGACCGAAAGAATAAGAAT